GGTGTGAGGTGTTTAAGACCTGATCCCTTTAGCACAGGTATGCTCTCCTGGTATCTGAGCTGTCTGTCACCCAGGAAAAGGAGTGTGAGGATGACTAATGAAGGCTGTGGATAGCTAGCTACATGGACTGTTGCCTCCAGGGTGCCTGTTGAGAAGTGCTGTAATCTCTGGTTCCTTCCCTGTGTCCCGCTGAGCTAGCTGGTTTCCTGGAATGGTGGCTCCAGAGGTCTCTTGTGTAGCAGAAAGATGAAATTATTGAGTGGAGAAGGTTCTAGAAAGAGGAGCGGGAGAGGAATCATGGACTGCTGTATTGACTCATATTTCAAGTTCTATGGAAGGATACCCAGAAAAGTGAGACAGTTGCCAGGACAGGATAGAGTCAAGGGTGCCAGGGTTTTGTGTCTAGGGTTTATTTACTCAGTTCATTAGTTACTTTATATGTATAAGTACTTTACCTGCATGTATGTATGTGTACTGCATATGTGTCTGATCCCCTCAGAGGCCAGAACAGGGTGTTGGACCCTGTGAAACTTGAGTTACAGATGGCTGTGAACCACCATGTGGGTGCTGGGATCTGCACCCAGGTCCTCTGTAAGATGCTCCTAACCACTGAGCCATCCATCCTGCCCAATGGTATGGGTTTTAAAAAGATGTAAAATATTGGAGCCAAGCCAAGTGGGGGAGAAACTGACAGTGTGTAGTAGGTGGGTTGATGGGAAGTGCTGGGCAGTTGTGTAGGCAAGGTGAGAGGAGGCGCAGAAAGTTCTCAGGTAGTCACAGGCTATCAGCCAAGAAGCCTGGGAACAAAGATGCTTTTCCATTATGGCAGGACTCCTTTCTTCCCTGGCTTTGGCTAAGTGGTGTTTCTAAACTGCTGAACAATGACTACGCAATGGGGATGGTGCTTTTACTTTATATGCTGTTATTATTATTATTATCATTACAAATGAGTGGCTGCAAAATTGCATTTTGTTACTAACAATTTAATGATGAGACAGGAATAACTCACTCAACAGTTATTTATTGCCAGGCGTATAGCTCAGTGGCAAAGCACTTGAGTGGCATGTGTAAATAGGCCTGGATTTGTTCCCAGCACAGAAAAAAGAGAGAGAGAGAGAGAGATACTTCTAATAAATGGGGGCAGAGGCTTGGAATGCGGCTCAGTAGTAGAGTATTTGCCCAGCATGGACACAGTCCTGGGTTCACTAATACCACAGAGGAAAAAAAATAGCAGGAAAAAATTACTGACCTATCATGTACTTCTAGGTACTAAGGATCCAGCAGGAGCAAAATAATTGTATTTAAAGTACTCTATCAGTTCCATCATTAAGTGATTCACAGGTGGTTTTTGTAACAAAAACATGTTTCAAGGTGCTCTGGACTGTCCCTTCACACTCGATAAAACTCCCAGTTCCCAGAAGCTGGGAGACTTTATTATCAAGACTTCTTCCCCAAGGCTCTTGGAGAAGTCATCTGGGGACTTTCTCTATTGTCTTCTTTGCCAGGGATTAGTCTAGGAGCCTTTTCAAATGTATTTAAGTGATCTCAGAATTTGGTCACTTATAGCTGCATTAGGAGGCTAGTCCAACTGCCTTTAATAACTGCTCTCTCTTTCTGTTAGTCTTTTAAACTACTTACATGTAGTTTAGTTTTCTCACAAAACCAACCTGAGATTATTACCCTATCTAATTTCTCTCCCCTCAGCTTCTGCCACAAAAGCAGTTCATGTACAGAAAGGAAAGGAGTATAGAATTGCCAAGACTTCTTTTCACTAATGTAGACGCCTGAATTTTCCACTTTCCACTGAAGAATCCATTCCAGCATGCTGAACCTTTAAAAAGGTTAGCTGCCACTTGGAGCACTCTTTTCATTGTTTCTCTCTGCAGCCTTCTTTACAATGGCCATTTCTCTGATTTCCCTGCAGCATATTTATTTCATAGCAAGCATTTGTTTTAGAGCATACAAAGCTTCTTCTAAACTCTTCCTCATTCATGTCAAAATCTGACTAGATTTCCCATTAGTTGGAGATTTTATTTAGCAGAGAACAGTGGCACACACCTACAGTTGGTGACATGCACCTACAGTCGGTGGCATGTACCTGCATCGGTGGCATATACCTGTAGTCGGTGGCACACATCTGTAGTCCCAGGACTTGCAGTGCTCTAACAAAATGATCCCTTGAGCAGAGAAACTCAAGGCCAGTCTGGACACCATAACAAATGTTATTTTTGTTTCAGAACTCCCATAATCTGTTACACTTTAGGAACACATACATTCCCCAAAGTATATCTGTAAACATAGGGGACAGAGGGGAGAGATTTACCTTGTGGCTTTTTAAAAAATTATTTTATGTGTATTTTGCCTGCATGTATGTATATATGTGTATCGCATGCATGCTTAAAGCCCACGGAGGTCAGAAGAGGGTTAGGAACTCCTGTAACTGGAGTTATAGATGGTTGGGAGGCATCGTGTGGGTGTTGAGAATTGAGCCCAGGTCCTTTGGAAGAACAGCCAGTGAGCTTAACAGCTGAGCGATCTCTCCAGCCCCCTCTTTGTGGCTTCTTCCTTCAGCTTACTCCATTCATAAAGGTTCCAAAGGACCCATCCTTATTCTTAACTACTAGTTAAGAATAAATAGTTTCAAATACTATTTACTGTTTGCTTGATGCATATGTAAAGTATTTTAAACTTAGAGTAGTGACTGTGATTTAGCCATTGAACATCATCTCCAAATACCTATGAATTATAGAATAACTCACATCACATTCTCTACTAGAAATAAAACATCTTACAGCATAAAATGTCTATCCAGAGGCAGTAAAATGTCTTGTGACAACATGGCTAGTCTTTGACCCATGTTTATCTCACAGCCTCTAAAGTCAGCTTCAGATGTCTGTAGAGGATTTAAGATGGTCAACAGTTTTTCTGACCTTACAGTGGTGTGAAAGCCCTGCGGACTCTGTAGATACTGTACTTTAAGTTTTGATCTACCTAATCTGATTTTTATCTGGGCAGTGGCAAAGAGCCAGCCACTCAATCACAAAATTATAAACAGCAACACTCTGCAGTGAACGGTCTCTAAGCCATGAGTTAGGTGTAGTAAATGCAACTCCCCCAATGGATTTACTGGCAATGCAAGACCAATCTAAAGAAAAGAGCATCTGTGTTTGCTCCTTCTGTTGCAGCCTTTCTGCTGCTGGGCTGAGGAGGACCAAGGTATGGAAGAACTAGTAAGAACTCTACATGTGTCTACATGTATGAAAAGGCTATTTTACGCTCCTTAACTGAATCATGTGATTAAAATGTGCAGCAAACCTGGGATCCTTGTCAACAGGACTGATGATGTTGACAAACAGTGGAACATCAGCACAAACAGACTGACTAAGCTTAGAAGAGCTTTGCCTAAGAGCAGCAGAGGAAAATTTCCAGCATCTCCATATACACGCATTGCTCCGAAGTAAGTAACAAATTAAGTTCAAAGTTTAGAGAAAACAGAAATCCTTTTAGGAAAAGTAAAATGGATCCCAACATTAATGGAGAGTCTCAAAGTATATTTTAGATGAAGTTTTGGCTTCCTAAAACGACCCCTTTTCAGAAAGCAGGCATGTTGCCATAAAAGCACAATAAGTGAAAAGTGTTGAGGGGAAATCGTTGAAAACAAGGTGCTGAAAGAACTTCTATTTCCTTGGGGACATTGTCGCCTCCACATCTGTTTAGTCTTATATAATGCATCTAGTGGAGACACAGAAAATGTTCAATAGTGTTAGAACCTTTGTGACTGTCTTCTCTTGGGCATCCTCAACTACAGGACACAGTCCAAACCACTGAAGGGTTTCATGGTATCCAGACATATTCTGGGTGGATGGAAGCCATGAAGAGATGTTTGGGACTGCTTGATTAAACAGAGGGTATCAACAGCGCTGGCCAAACTAAAGGACTCCACCACGAGGGAAAGAGTGCTTCTGGTGGCTGGAACTTTGGAACTTGGTTGGATATGCTTTTCTCAAACAGCTGGGAACTGTGCAACGAAATGGCTTGGATGCCCACCTCACACCGGAGAAGCCTCGGTAGGCTGAGCGTCATATTTCTGTAGAAGGCTGGCCACACTTGCTGGAGGCTGTAGAGCCGGTTTAAAGTGTGAGGGGGAGGGGGGGGCAGTGGGGACGGATGGTGCGATCACACAGAGACATTTTTCTCTAGGAACGAAGCCAGCACCTCTGTGTTTGCTTGGTTGTGGGACTTTCAATTTTGGTGAAGAGGTGGCCTGTTCAGAGGCCAAGCAGGAGGTTCCAGCCCGCTGGTGAAAGTAAAAGTTTATGCGAACCAACCCCAGCACAATGGCTTTGCTTTTCTGAATACATTCTTAGTGTCACTACCTTTTGCAAAAGTGCCTGAAGGTGACAGTCAAGTGGCATTGCACAGCAACACACACAACACACCCACACACCCACCCACACACACGAAGGGGGAAGGAGAGGGGAAAGAGAGAGAGAGAGAGAGAGAGAGAGAGAGCAGCGATTCCATGCTGCCTTACTGCAGCCAGCAGCAAACTGGACCCAGGGCGGCCAGCCATCCCTCGAAGACACGCCCTGTCCGCATCTCCCACCCAGATTCGGGGCCGCGGGCCCAAAGGAAACTCCGCCACGGAACTTTCGCCACATCAACAAGTGGAGCGAAGCCAGGCAGCAGCGGTGAATGCTGGAGGCGCCCGGTGCTCGGGAGCAAAGGACAAGGGGAGAAGGTGGAGGAGAGGACTCCTCTGGCTCCCACTAAGGATGCTGCGCGGGCATCGGAGCTCCCCGCCTTCCTCTCTACCTCTGAGACCTCACGTTCAAGGACAGGCCTCGCCAAAGCGCCAAAGCACCAAAGCACCAAAGCACCGGTTCCGAGACCCTGACTGCGCAGGCCCTGCTCAGTTTCGTAGATTTCTCGCAATCCTCGATGGCGTCGCGGTCCCCACCGCGCAGTGACCCCGCCACCGCCCTCGAGGGCCCCAGTACCGATGCCCTGGATGAAGACGAAGCCGGTCACCGCGAGCACCGGGTGCCAGTTAAACTCGAGCGCGCCGCCGTCCCAGCCAAGCCCCTCTCGGTAGTGCAGGACCCAGACGAGCACGAAGATCACCGACAGGAAGCCCACGAGCAGCGCGGACACCAGCAGCCCCAGGAAGCCCCGGTAGCCCTCCATGGCTGTCAGCACCCCATGCTCCGGACAGACTGCGGGAGAACTCGGCGCTGCGGCCGCGGCCTCGGGGTACTGTCCCGGCGGCGGGGCCGGGGCGGCGACTCCTCGGCGCGGTCTCCGGGAGGAGCTTTACCGGGGTAACAGGCTATGGGGCCTCCCGGGGGTGCCGCGAGCTCCGAGTCGCCCTCCCACCCTCCACACACACCCTGATCACGCGACCGACAGCGGAGAGCTCTGGCTATGCGGTGGCCGCCACCTGGCTTAGCGTCCAGCCTCCCAGGGTGTGAGTTCCTCACCTGGAGAGCGCCGGGGAGCTCAAGCCTTACAACTTTCTTTGAACTCTTCCAGCCTTGATCCCTTATTCGTGGGGAGGGCAGTGGCACAAGCTCTTGTTACCAGGGAGGGACAGATCCACTGGATGCGGTTAATGCCTATGGTTTTAGTTAATGGAAATTCTTGGCCCCCAGAGGATGGAGAGAAAGAACTGGGTAGCAGTGAACTTGGCCTTGCCTAGTAAAGAAGCACCTGTAGAACCGAGACTGGTAGTGGCACTGGCACTTGATTCCATCACTCAGAAGGCTGAGGCAGGAGAATAGCCACAGATGTAAACCATTCTAGGCTACATAGTGAGTTCCAGACCAGCCTGGCTACAGAGACCCAGCCTCAAAATCAAAACAGAGAAGAGAGAAAAGAGAAGGCTCAAAGTTCGCCTAGTGTGCACAAAGACCTGAGACCCGAATAAACAAACAGGCTGTGGCAGTGCACACCTGTAATCTCACCACTGGGAAAGTAGAGACTGGAGGATCAGAAGTTTAGTATCATCCCCAGTTACAAAGAGAGTTTGAAGCCAGTCTGAGATACATGCTACGAAGAGATCTCAACAGTAAGAACAATAATGACCTGCCCAAACCTTAAACCTCCCCTTGTGACTTACCTTGATGAAGAAAGAGGTGCTGGCATCCTGCCTATCCAGGTGGGCCAAGAACACTGTCAGCATTATGCACTACTCTCAGAGGAAAGGGTTCTGGATGCTGAGGCTTCTAAAATGCACTTGGAAATGCTCTCACTAGCCCCTGGAGACCATTAAAAGTGCAGGAAATATAGTGTATGGGGGTGGGAGCTTGCACATCAAGAAATGATTTTCCAAAGAAAGGAGCCAGTGAGATGGCTCGGTGGGTAAAGGCACTTCTTACCAAGCCTGATGACCTGAGTGAGATCCCTGGAATCTACAGGGTAAAAAGGAGAAAACCTGCTCTGCAAGTTGTCCTCTGACCTCTACATCCATGCTGGACTGCTCACAGCACACACACACACACACACACACACACACACACATACACACACCAAATATATGCTTAAAATTAATTTTAAAATAGTAAGAAGATACAAAAATTATTTTAAAGGGTTGCTTATTTGGGTTTATTTTTATATGTGTGAGAGTTTTACCTGCGTAGGTCTGTGTACCACATGCATGCAATTCCCACAGAGACCAGAAGAGTGCGTTGGATTTCTTTGGACTATAGTTACAGAGTTGTAAACCTCCATGTGGGTGCTGGGAACTGAACCCTCGTCCTCTGGAAAAACAGCCAGTATGCTTAACAGCTGAGCCAACTCTCCAGTTCCTAAAATATTGTATGATTTTCTTTTAAATAAATGTTTTAGACCAATAAGGCTGGATTCATGGGTATGAGTTTGAGACTGTGGCCTGTAGCCATGACTTTAAGCAAATGGAAGGAAGGGAGCTAGCTACATCCACAGTTCAAGACTTCCTATGATCTGACTCAGCCTAGCCCACATTCTTATCACTTACCACAGTCTGACTGACCCTGGATATTGTTGGCTGTAACTGTCTCTCAGAGTTACCTGAGCACTCCTATCTCTCCCTCTACATTGACCCTCTTCCAGAAACTCTCCAGTCCTTCTAGGGCCCAGACTGTATTACTCCCAACCACATTGGCATTCAGTGCCTCTCCACCACTTACAAAGATGTGATATGATGCCTCCATGGCACTCTCCACTCTCCAGGTGGCCCTTTTATCGTCTTTGGCATGTAGGAGTTACTCAATAAATGTTTGTTAGGCAATGAATGTGTCTCTAGGGTCTTGACAGAGAATGGACAACGTATTCAAAATGAGTATTTTGGTAATGAAGAGGAAGGACTGTCTGTGTTTGTGAACAGGACGTGGGAAACCACAAGGGGTTCATACTGTCCCAAACCTATAGCAGAGAGGGTTAGTGGAGTCCAGAGAGAAAACTGGGGAGGGCAACCTTGTATGAGAGGTGCAGCCAGTTTGCAGGGCCTTCAAAGGAAAAAGACCGGAGGGGAGGTAACTATTCCACCTTTACCCTCCCTGCCCATCTCCTGGAGAGGTCCTCTGGTGGCTAAGCAGAACCTAAGCAGATATCCCAGGGCCTTGATGTAGCTCTTGCAGGTCAGCTCCCCGAGGCACAGAGCAGAGTGCAGGAGGGCCAGGCATGGTGACACCTTCTTGTGTGTAAGAAGTGTAGACGGAGTTTCTGTCCTGTCCCACAGTCGTTTAGTCCCAAATAAACACACTGAGATTTATATTAATTATAATGGCTCAGGCTTCTTATTGGCTAGCTCTCTCTTAAATATTAACCATTTCTATTAACTATGTATTTGCTTACTGGTAACTCCAGCATGTTACTCCTTTGGCAGCTATATGCCATCTCTCTTCAGACTCTTCTTTGCCTTCTTCCCAGAATTCTCCTAGTCTGATAGCCCCACCTATACTTCCTGCCCAGCTACTGGCCAATCAACATTTATTCATCAACCAATAAGAGAAACGTGTATTCACAGCATACAGAAAGACATCCCCCTCAAAGAAGTCCATTATTCTCAGGTCTGGAGAGATGGCTCAGCAGTTAAGAGCACTGACCGATCTTCCAGAGGAACTGGGTTCAATTCTCACCATCCACATGGCAACTAACAACTGTCTGTAACTCCAGAATCTGACACCCTCACACAGACAATACAGGGAGGCAAAATACCCAAAATAAGGATAAATAATTATAAAAAAGAAGTCCATTATTCTCAACCAAAGAAGTTAAAGATAGTGGTTTACTTTTGGCATAAGTAGACCATATTTTTACATTCCCATCTGTTGGTTCTGTTGGTTGGCCTATTTGCTCCTCTGTTCTCTACCTTTGGCCTTGCTGATGTCCAGGTTGAGAAGTTCTCAACCTTCCTAATGCTGCCACCCTTCAATACAGTTCCTCAAGTTGAGGTGACCCTCAACCATAAAGTTCTTTTCTTTTTTTTTTCTTTAAATTAGAAACAAGCTTCTTTTACAAGCCAATCTCAGTTCCCTCTCCCTCCCCTCCTCCCCCGCCCCCCACTGACTCCCTATCCCAAACCCTTTCTGATCCCCAGGGAGGGTGAGGCCTTCCTTGGGGGAATCTTCAAAGTTTGTCATATCATTTGGAGCAGGGCCTAGACCCTCCCCAGTGTGTCTAGGCTGAGAGAGTATCCCTCTATGTGGAGAGGGCTCCCAAAGTCCATTTGTATACTAGGGATAAATACTGACCCACTACCAGTGGCCCCATAGATTACCCAGATCTCCAAACTGACCTCCTCCTTTAGAGGGTCCATAAAGCTATTTTCATTGCTATTTTGTAACTGTGTCTTTGCTACTGTTGTGAATCATAATGTAAGTATTTGTGTTTTCTGATGGTCTTTGGCCCTCCCTGTGAAAGGCGAAAGGTTCAGGCTTTAATGCTGATCCGCTCTACCTCTTTAAGAGACAGACCCCACCCCCTGACAACAGTCAGGGCACGCACAGGGACGTGCCATCACCACATCACCCACCACGCATTTACTGCCTGCATGAGGACTCTGGGCATGCGTGGAACCTCAGTGTGCATGCACAGTCTTCCCTTTAAAAGTTCCAACTTCCCTGCTTCGCTCTCTTTGCTTCTTCTTTGCTCTCTCTCTACTCTTCTCCTCTCTCTGTTTGCTTCTACTACTCTTTTCTCTGTCTCTATGGCGATCGGCCATGGCGGTCAGCCACTAACTCCGTTCCTCTTCTCTCTCAGTCTCCCTACTCTGTATGGCCTATAATAAAATGGCTAATATGTCTCATCTTGCGCCTCCTCTTTTCTTCTTTATCTTTAATTTAAACAAAAACATAACAAAAGGGTCATCAAACCCCAAAGGGGTCTCGACCCACAGGCTGAGAAATGCTGGTCTACAGCTTTCCTTGTCCTAAGGCTTCTAGTTGTGTTTGATGGATGGATGCTGCCGACAGATAAAGGGTAGAAAAGATCTCACTGTGTCTCCTTGACTGTTCATTTTCCTTTCTGTTGAAACTTTCTGATATGCTCTCTTGCATAGCTATGGTTCCCAGAGGAGATTGACTGCACTGCCATGCCCCCCTTGCCTCCACAGGCTTTGAGTTCCTGCAGTTGCTTGTCCCTGGTTCTCATCTGCCTTCCTGGGATGCCTTCTGTCTGTTTTTTGCCTCTGAAAAAATTCATTCAACCGTCTCAAAATAAATCCTTTATGTGAACCTAGTGTTTCCTGACGTATTCTGACTAATATAAATGGAAAACTACTGATCCCTGGAACTCACTTGGTGGAAATGGAGAGCAGGTTCTCTGCAGTTACTCTCTGACCGCATGTGTGCACGTGAAATGTTCACCCCAGTTGCCATGCACGCAAAAATAAGTAATAAAAATGTAAAGTTCTATTAAGAAGCTGAATGAAGAACTGAGAGCCAATATCAGTCTCTCCTCCTTCATGGTAGTTTAGTGTCTCATTGGTAATGGACAGCTCGCATTCTGTCTTATTATGAATGGAGGGTTACATACAGTCGGACAAAAATCAAAGATGAACTCTCAGTTTCTCCCCTCCTTTTCCCTAGACAAGTGATGTGGGGATCAGAAAGTTGTCTTCAGTACTGCTCAGAAGTAGAGGACCTGCCGAGAATTCCTGAGGTCTTGGGAATTTGGTCTCCGGTACTAAAAGAAAGAAAGAAAGAAAAAAATTGTCCCAATCACTTGTCCAAGGTCAAGAGATTCATGGCTGAGACTGTGGTTTGTGATTCGAGCCGAGCCCAAGAAGTGGTCAAAGGCTCCTTAATGAAATAAAAGGATTAGTGTTTTAAAAGCACGAAGTTGGAAGCCTGCTAATGGGACAGATATGCTTTTATCATAGGAGGCATATCAAAGACAGGCAGGTAGGTTATCTCCCGGAATTCGTTTACCCTGGGAGGGGCCACTCTCTGGGTCCACAAGGCACACCACATACCAGAGATGAATAACACCGAAAATAAGAAAATACAGCGAACACAGCTTGGAACAGTTGTTGACAGCAAGTATTTAACAACACATTCATGCAGACAGACTGAGGAGGTTAGAGTCTAAGATAAAGCCAGGAGTTAGCAAGGAATGGAATGCCCTGAAACATGTTTCTTATAATCAAGCTCCCACAGGAAAACCAAGTTTTATAAGCACATTGGGCTGTGTGAGTGGGGGCATTATACTGTGTAAGGAACTTGACTGTACAATTGGGGAGGATTCTAAACCATAGCTCTACCTTTGGAGTTTTTATTGGGGCCTTTCTGGTTAGCTTTATAATAACAGAAATAGGTATCCTAATGATAACCCTCCCATCACCGATACATTTTTTAAAGGGCTTGCAGAGGCAGTACACTTCAGAAACAGAACTCGGGGCCTCAGTGAAGTGTGAAAGGATGGAGGGAGTATGAAAAAGAACTCTCACTAGAACAGTCTTGGTCTTTCTCCCTTTTAAAAAATGTATTTATTTATTTATTTATTTTGTGTGTGTGTGTGTGTGTGTGTGTGTGTGTGTGTGAGAGAGAGAGAGAGAGAGAGAGAGACAGAGAGAGAGAGAGAGAGAGAGATCAGAGGACAATTTGTGGGAGTCAGTCGTCTCTTCTACCAAATGGGTCCTGGAAATTAGGACACAGGCTTGGTTGCTTTACCCATTGAGCCATCTTGCTGTTTCCAGAGAGATGTCAGATATTTCTAAAGAAAATTTATAGGCAAATAGTTTAAATGTATCTTACTAGATCTTGGGGAAACTTAATTGTATCTTTGGCACTAGGTGAACATGTTTTTAAAGAGAAAATTAACTGGTCTAAGTCCAACTTTCACTTGTTTTTCAGATCAATCAGTTTTTTGAGACAGTCACTCACTAGAACCTGGGGCTCTCTGATTAGGTGGAGCTGGCTGTATTGTGAGCCCCAGGGACCTGCCTGCTTCTGCCTTCCTAGAGCTAAAATTACAAGCATATGCCAGCAGGTTTGATTTTTATTTATTTTTTGAGACAGGGTCTCATTTTTGTGGCTCTGGTTAGCCTGGAACTGGCTATGCAGATCAGTCTGTCCTTTAACTCATAGAGATCCACTTGCATCTATCTCAAAGGTGCTAGGGATTAAATGTTTATGCCACCCAGTATCGTGTTTGCTTTGGGACTTTTTCTGTGGGTGATAGTTACTGAACTCATGCCTTCATGTTTGTGTGGCAAGTGTTTTACTGACAGTGCTATCTCCTCGGTCCTCCAAATTTTAATTTTGTTCCAAAATATCTGGGCTCCCTTCATTTATGTGTTCACTCTATCCAAGCCTAGGTCCTTCAGGGTCCAGGCGGACAACAGGAAGCAATTTGGAACAAGGCACCTGAGCTTGCTGCAAGCCTGTTGTGACATGCACAGGGACCAAAAACTGGGCTATAATTTGCTAACCAGTGACAGAATAGTTTTAGTATTATTTAGGGTCTTAACTGGGTGGAAGTGAACAAAACACAGATGGGGAAAACAGCATTTTATTTTTATTAACCACTGAATGAAACTGAGCAATGTCTTTATTTATGTGGGTGGATGATACTCATATTTGCAATAGCTATCACTTAGCTACAATTATACTTTTATGGCATAGAATTTTCACAGATCATCATCTAAACTCAGCCTTTTTTTTCAAAGTAACACTAGTTACTACTGAGAATTACAGTTAGATCTTATCATTGAATCAATGCTAACTGATACTTTATTACATCAAAAATTTATTTTTATCTCCAAAATGTTAGTAAGTCCTCTTCGGTGTGATTGGTTTCCTAAAGCTATGGGTTTGGGACTTTAAATCCACTTAAAAACAATCTTCTGAGGGGGAGGCCTTATTAGCTTGCAAAAGGAGTCCAAGTCACACAAATGGTTGAGAGTCCTAAAGCAAAATGACTTCTAAGGTTTATTTCTGCTTTTAAATCTATAAAGGGAACAGCTGGACCTGCCAATCAAGGGAAGGCAACCAACTAAATCAGATTCATGTCTTACAAAGTCCAGTTACCAAACTAATGTCATAGGAGTATAAGAAAACAACACTTGAACGATTTGATAGTTATCTTAGAAAAAGCAGCCTAGAAAAGCCTCATATCTTCTTAGCCCAGCAAGGCGTGGAATCTGAGTTCTCCTGACTCACACTCCCAAAGGAAGAAAAAGTTTATCTCTCAATTGCTTAATTTTTATTTATGGATAGTCTGATTGATGTTCTGTTAGCACAGCGTGGCCTGGCCAGCAGAGCTGCAGTCAGGCTGTTTGTTGTAAGTACTTTGATTTGCTACAGCTTTCCTTCTGCCTGGGTCCTTTTCTTTCTTGACACAACTCCTTTCCCCAATACTCAAACTTGCCTTCTACCAAGGCACAAATGATGAGAGCATCCTTGTCTCACTCCGTACTAAAACAGACTGATTGCCTAGCTCTTATGTGAAGCATTGGTGATCTGTGCTGATTTAGTCATGAAAACTACGACTGCTTAGTTATCACTTAGTATATATCAGATGCACGTTTCCACCAATTTAATGCTTACAGCAATCCCATTCTACAGATGAGGAAACCAGACCACAAGGAAGACACTTCTTATAGCCAGAAAATAAAGGGTTTGTGAATCAAACGTGAGTAGTTTGGATAGAGCCTCACTTACAGACACTGCTATCCTGATGGTTTATTTAATGAATTCCTTATTTGTTGACATCAACATTTGTGCTTTTATATGTTTTCACTATTCATGAACATCTTTATGTATTTCTGGATGCTTTTGAGGAAAAATTTTAATTGAAATTGCTAGATTAAAATATTTTAATCAGGGCCGGAGAGATGGCTCAGCCATTAAAGGCTAGGCTCACAACCAAAAATATAAAATATTTTAATCAAATCGATAAACTGTCTCACAAAAGGCTGTTACAATTTTTCCATAACAGTATCACAGTGGTCCTTCATACTATGTCCAATAGAGTGTGTTGCTGTTCTCTCTTTTAAAGCTGTTTGTTAAGCTGATGGGCATTGTAAGCACCTGCACTTACTTCTGGTGCCAAGGTCACCTAATATGGCCATCGAGAAATTAAAACAGGCTGGGGTTGGAGGGGCCACGGCAAGACTGAGGCTGTGACAGTTTTATTAAGAGCACTCAGAATTTTTATACCCCTATCAGAAACAGAATACAGTGGTGATTGCCAGGATCGATACAGTAGTAGTTGCCAGTATACAATGATGTTTTCAAGCTATACAGGGTACACAAGATTAATGTCTAAGACCAATTGTCCTGGCAAGTTCCCATGCTTCCTCGACTTCTAAGGGAACATACAGAGAAACACAAAGTGGCCTGAACACTTTACTGCCCGAGGGAATGCCTCGGTTTCTCAGGAACTGCAAGGCACACAGTGCCCCAGAAGCCACAGAGTCTAACCTGAAAAACCTATGATGCATGCCTCTCAAGGCAACTAGGCTAAGCCAACTCCATGGTTCCTGGCAGGCCATAACATGACATCTCATTTTATGTGTTAATTAGCTTCAATTGGCTCACTCCATTTTTGGGGGTGGGGAGGGCCCCAAGAGCAAAGTTGTTCATCTCCAGAAAGCAGAGAGACAGAGACAGACAGACAGACAGACAGACAGACACACACACACACACACACACACACACACAGAGAGAGAGAGAGAGAGAGAGAGAGAGAGAGAGAGAGAGAGAGAGAGAGAGAGAGAGAGAGAGAGAGAGAGAGAGAGAGAGAGAGAGAGGGACTGAAGGAGCTAGGCATAAGGATACTTTTCAGGGCATGGCCTCAGTGACTGACTTCCTTCAAATAAGTCCTACATCCTATCTTCCTTCCATGGCCTCCCAACATGTCATAATATTATGAATCCATTAAGGGATTAAACCATTGAGTCAGAGTCCTTATGATCTAATCACCTCTAAATGACTGGATCAACCAACTGGGGGCCAGGCCGTCAACATGAGTCATAAGCATATTCACAGTATGACATTATACTTTGTATTTCTTTGTGGACAGACACAGGTCACATATATAAAGCGATTGCTTGTTTTATTCTTCTATGATTGCTAGTCTTTGCTATAAGGATTCGAGTATGGCAGAGTACCTCCCCAAAAGGCTTGGTCCCCAGGACAGTGCTTTTAGGAAGTGAAATGGGTTTCTACAAAGCAGGATCTAATGAGAGGTCTTGGATCATTGAGGGAGTGTTCAAAGGGATCGTGAGATACCCTTGTCCCACACCAGCCTGGCTGTAATATTCTTTTCCTAATACATTATTAGTATAGTATTTTGGAAAGATTTAATAGAAAAAAGTTCACTGATAATAAGGAGGCAGTTTCCAGTGATTTTCTATCATGAGACACAGTGAATTAATTGGGATATTTTAAGTCATTAAAACTGTTGTCATGAACTATAAGAACACTTAAAAACCAAGTGGTTAACTTGAAAAATGACTAGATAATTTTATCTAAGCATTAGTTTCTTTAAAAAGCATATTATTGACTTTGTAATGGAATAATGGTCCTGGTTTCAGGAGTTGTTATTTTCAGAGATTTATACTGAAATATGTACATAGAAAATAAATTGTGTTTCAGAATCTTTTTCTCTTAATGACCCAGTATGGAAAGATATGAAATGATGGAGTAGATGAAAAAAAAAAAAAACTGTTGTTTTTTACACTGTAGTGGTACCTGCTGTAATCTCCATGCTTAAGAGAGGGAAGAAGGATGATCAGGAGTTCAAGGTCATCTTGAGCAACTCAGTGAGTTTGAGGTCAGTTTGGAATGTATGAGATGCTCTGTCAAAAAAACAAAACCAATAATGAAACAAACAAACAAAAAAAGATAAAGGGGGTGGTGGCTGAGCAAAACGTGTTAGGTGCAAAGAACATATTAGAGCTCCTAGGTCATCTCTCAGCATCCCCTCCTCCCCTGAAGATTATTGAAGCAGACTGTTTAGTTATTCAACAAATATTTATAAGCAGTGGTGAAGTTAGTATTTGAACCAGATGCCTGACTGTCTAGGCTTTCCCCCATCACCTGTCTTAGGTCAAGAAAGGAATGAGATGAGGCCTGGAGAGATGATGGCTCAGCAGTTAAGAGCACTGACTCTTCCAGAGGACTTGGATTTGATTCCCAGCACACATAGGTGGCTCACAACCGTCTGTTAATTCCAGTTACAAGGGACTGGACTTCCTCTTCTGGCCTCATTGGGCACCAAGTACCCACATGTCCACAGATGTACACACAGATAAAACATTCATACACATAAAATTAAAATAATATCTTTTAAAAGGAATGGGATCTTGGTATGACAGCTTATGCCTGCAATCTTGGCCCTTGGGAGGGTGAGGCAAGAAGACTACAGAGTTCCAAGATATCCTCAGTTTTAGAGTGAGACTATGTCTTTAAAAAAAAAAAAGACAAAGAAAAGAAAGAGGGAAGAGAAGTGGAAAGAGATGGAGAAAGGGGAAAAAGAAAAAAGGAAGGAAGGAAAGAAAAAAGGAAAAGAACAAATAAAAGGGAGGAAGGAAAGAAGAAAGGAAGAAAGAAAAACCATCCCAGGGGCTAGAGCTGTAGCTAAGTGTGTGTGTGTGGAGGGGGAGTACATGGCTAGCATGAATGAGGCCCTGAGTTTGATTCCCACCGTTTTATAAAACCTGGAGTGATGCACACCTACAACCCCAACACTCAGAAGGCAGAGACAGAAATTCAAGGTCATCCTGGGCTACATTGTGAGTTTGAAGTAAGTTTGGGCTACATGGTACCATGTCTATGAAAAAGAAAGGAGGGGAGAGGAAAAGAGAGGAGGGGAGGGGAGGGAAAAAGGGAGGAGAGATGAGAGGAGATGAATGGAAAGAGCACAGTCAGGGCAACTGACAAAGCTGCAGTAGATTTAAAACAATAAACAGCAATGTCTTATCTTCCTGTCTCCAGCATGAGGCCAAGTCTGGAAGTCTAGAGTCCAGGGCCCTTTCCCCCACATCCCCACAGTCTACAATTTCCACACCAGGGAAGGGTGTTCAGAGTTCTCTGTGTCTTGAGGGCTACCAGTTCTTGTTTCAGAGGTTTGCCCCTGAAGGGGCTGAGCTGAAGTTGCTTGCCAATAGCTGTTGTAAGTTCAAGAAGGTGGTTGGGCCACCCAGAGTGGAGCTTGTACGTGATCAATGGACATGTCACCTGTGTCCTGTGTCTTTGATTAATACACTTACTATCAGGCCTGTGTAACACAGAGGTAGTGTTAAACATAGTTTTGTTTAAACTATCATCCATTTAACAAAAATACCTCATGGAAAAGGGGGAAAGAAGAGCTACTATTTAGAAGGTATGGAAAACAGGAACTACCACCTGCTCTGATAAGGGGGGTTTTTGTTGATGCTGTTCTGTTGTGTGTGGTTGATGTTTGAGGTGGTTTCCTATAGCCAAGGCTGGCCTTGAACTCCTGATCCTCCTCCTCCTCCTCTCCCCCTTTCTTTCTCTCTCTCTCTCTCTCTCTCTCTCTCTCTCTCTCTCACACACACACACACACACACACACACACACACACACACACACACACGTGAACATAGCAACTTTATTCATAACAGTAAGAAAACAATAGCAGAAACAGCCCAGGTGCCATCAGTAAGAAAACAGAAGAACAAACTGATGTATTCATGTAATATATTCAGGAATTAAAAAGAACAAACAAGCGATGCTCCAATACAATGAATTTCACAGTTGTTATGCTGAGTAGCTCAAACTGGGATGTATGTGATGGAGTCAGAGCAGGAGTAGGTGGGAAGGGACTTCAGTTTTTTAAACCTTGAAAAGGAGCTGGATGGTGGTGGCGCATGCCTTTAATCCCAGCACTCAGGAGGCAGAAGCAGGAGGATCTCTGTGAGTTTGAAGCCAGCCTGGTCTACAAGAGCTAGTTCCAGGACAGGCTCCACAGCTACACAAAGGATTTGGATTATACAATCACAAAATCTCAGCAAACTTATACAAATGTCTGTGCATTTCATTACACGTAAATATTAAATAAAAATTTAAAATCTAAATGAGCAATACATCTATTACATGCATGCTAATGTTCTGGGGAAATAATCTGACACTTGTAATTTATTTTGAAATGCACTGAAAAGCTAAGCAATGAAAGAGAATGTAACCTATGTGGTTGGTGTTTAATAACACACAATAAAGTTATATAAACTTCACTGTATATTTAATATATTCCCAACTTAATGAGAAAGGTTCTGAGTCTTAACTAATATAGACCCTGCTTGAAATACACTGTGAGCCAGAGATTGCACCGCAACACAGGGTATAGACATTAGCTCCTGAGTTTTGTTTAGGTTCTAAAATGTTTAACATATACAAACATAGTGAGAACAAGAAGAAACTGTAAAAATCATCATCACTGCCATCATCTTTTTCTGGCAGGATCTTGCTGTATAGTCCTTACTAGCTTGGTGCTCACTAAGTAGCCCAGGTTGGCCTGGAGACTGTGGTAATACTCCTGTTTCTCAAGTGGATAGCCAACACTTAAAAAATATTGAATTCAGGCTAAATGATAGTAATTAATACTGGGATTTACTGTCATTACAAACTATCATTTCTGAAGTACTTCCAATTATTGAACAAAGAGACATCTATCAATTTATGAGTAAACTCTACTTTATCAAAATTTAGTCAAAAAGTGGAAATTATCACACACACACACCTTATTAGGAGATGGAATATAGTAAAAGCATTGCTTAGTGTGCATAGAGGACTGGGTTTGATCTTTAGCACTGGGGTGGAAGAGCAGACCACACAAAACAAACAAAAACCACCTACCACTCTATTGGAAAGGACACTTTCCCAGGTCCTTAATAGCTGTCATTATGCTACGGAACTTTGTACAAGCTTCACTTGCCTCCTTGTACAAAGGGGAAAAAACAATGGCATATACCTGAAGCGGGTAACTTCAGCAGTATCAAGATCAGTAGCAGACAGAAAACATTCAGTGTACACAGCTGGGCATGGAGGCTCATCACAGTTCAAGTACAGCCTAGACTACATAGGAAATTCCAGGGTTGGTGGGAGGGGGAAAGGTGAGGGAGAGAGAGAACATGCCCCCCTCTTGTAAAAAGGACACATAGGGTTTAAGAAAATGCTCAGGTGTTGGGAAATTATGGAATATCTTAAACAGAAAAAAAAAATCATCTCCTCACTTGTTAGTTCAATAGCAACAGTGACAAGATTTATGTTTCACCCAGAGCTGTGATAAATGCTGTAGAAAGTCAAAGAACAGTAAGTTTGCAGTGTCACTCAGGATACAGCTTGACATCTATACTTGCTGAGAGAGTAGACCCTGCTTCAGAGTGAGCAGGTGCAGACACTAACAAGCCCATACCTTATGAGGTAGCATGCATTGTTTTCCTTGTTGCTGCTGCTGTTACTCCAGCACTGGGCACAGAACCGAGAACCCCATGCACAACAGCCAAGTGCTCTACCACTGAACTTCTCGGTATGAGTGCATCTGCATTTCCTCCATTCTTTTCTATCTTCAGTATCTTTTGGCATCTTTTTTACCAACCATCTCATTACCAATCATGCAGCTGACATTTCCATAAACTGTGACAACTGGCCAAAACTAAGCAGCTGTAGCTAATCATGTTAGCTGGACACAGCTCTCTCTTTTACACACACACCACACCCTCTATTTATGTGTATTGTGTGTATCTGTATGGATTTGTGTGCACATTCGAGTGTATGTATATATGGGGTATTGGTGGGGGTCAGAAAAGGATGTTAGATCCTCTGGAGCTGGAGTTACACATGGCTGTGTAGCCCAGTATGGCTTGTAACCATACAACCCAGGCTAGCCTCTAACTTGCGGCAACCCTCCTGTTTCAGCCTCCCAGTTGCTAAGATTATAGGTATGAACCATTAGGCCCAGCTTACACTAGGAATTTCCTAGAGGTCATGTTATACTTAGACTAGAGGTAGCCCGTCCCTTCTCTCAGAAATGTCTCAACTGCCTTTCTGAATACATGAGTTTCTTTCTACTACCACACATGCACACACACACTCTCTCCCACACACATACACAGCAATGATTTAAAGGAAAAGAAACTCCACAACCAACAAAGATTCTCTGCCAAGACTGAAGTCTAAAGACACTGCTCCAAATGCTCTCAAAACGCAGAGCAAATACATGGTCATGCAGACCTACACGGCATCATCCTTTCTTCTCTTGGCTGCTGCTCTTCTCATTGGATTTGTTTTTTAGTGTGTAAACTTGTGGATTAGGTGTTGTGTGCATGCCAGCACTTGAAAGGTGGAGGCAGGCAGATCTCTGTCAGTTTGAGGCTACTCTGGTCTACAGTATAGCAATGAAGTCGGAGACCTTGTCTAAAAACTGCTCCCCCCACCCCCAACACACAAAAGGATGCACACACCAAAAAAAACCAAAAATGTAAACAAACAAAAGAACACCACCCAAACAACAAAAACAAACACAAAACAGCAAGTTGTAAATATGTTAGACAGGGCTGGGCACAGAACTATTGACTGCTCTGTAATTACCAATGCTGACTCTAAAATGATCTCAGAGCCTCAGAGACACTAAACAGAGCTGTTAAGTATCATAAATGAGACTGCATTTTCAATGCAGTAAATCCAAATATAGACTTTAACATGCTATTACCTTGTTCATGAGGTAATTATTTCTATGTTCTCCCATGTAGACAGTATTCTACATAGGTTTAGGTTCAGCTTCAGAAAGATTTCTTTTTTAGCTCACATACATTCTGCCTGATGTCAATGCATATTAATGTCCATAATCTGGAAGTCCAAAACATTCTAAAACCTGAAACTTTTTAGTGCTGACATGATGTCATGAGTATAAAATTCAACACTGGATCTTAGGTGCTGGGACACGGATAGGCACGCTTAAAATAGTGCATAAAAGTGCTTTCAGGTTATATACACAAGAGATGTATTTTTTGTTTGTCTTGTTTTTTTGAGACAGGGTTTCACTGTGTAGTTCTGGCTGTCCTGGAACTCACTCTGTTAACTAAGCTGGCCTCTAACTCACAGAGATCCTAATGCCTCTGTCTTCAAGTGCTGGGATTAAAGGTGTGAGCCACCACTGCCCGGCCACAAGATATGTATTAAACAAACAAACAAAAAAATGTCATGTTTTGACCTTGCACCCATTCCCAAGATCTTATAATGTACCTGCAAATACTGTAAAATGGAAGGAGGGTGAATTATAAAACAATTTTGGTCCTTAAGCATTTTGGATAAGGAATAACCAACCTGTAACTTTGTTTCTATGCACAAAAGATGATTTTATATGTTTCCTTTATTTCTTGATTTACTAACTCTTTGATTTTTAAATAGCCAACATCTTTCTCCTTAGTCCTGCGGATCATAATCAATTAGAAACATCTTTGCAGACTTTCAAGGGCCAACTGGACAGAATCCACTCTTAACATGAGGTCAGGACAAAATGAAAAGACTTTTACACAAATCTTCCAAGCTAAAATTCCATATTCTAACCTTAAACTTGAATAAAAAATGGTTCACTGCAGTTGTTTTATGCTTTATTGAGACAGGGTCTCATGTAGCCTAGGCCGGCTCTGAATTCACTACACACCAAGCTGACACTGAACTCTTGATTGTCCTGCCTCTGCCTTTGGGATTAAGGTTTTTTGTTTTGTTTTTAAGGCAAGGTTTTGCTTCATAGTCCAAGTTGGCTTTAAACTTACAGCAATCCTGTTACAGTTCCCTGAGTCCTTGAGTTACAGGTGTGAGCTACCTGCCCTGGCTGATCTTCCCTTGTTTTATAGTTATTCTTTTGAGGCTAAACTGGAAAAATGAGATAAACATGTGGATTCTGAGCAACTGGATTTCTCAAGCTGGGAATGTAAATATCCACTTTCTCCCTATACTTAGGTTACCTTTATCTAACATTCTGAAAGGTGAGTACTTGAATTCAAGTGTCATGATTAAATATGTTCTAAGAAGAAAAAGAAACTTCCTTCTGAGAACAATCAAAATCTTCCTCTGGCTAACCAGGTGATTCTCAGGCAGGAAAGAACTCCTCCTGGGGTTTCAACTGTGCTACAAGGAAGAGGCCACCAGGGGCCAGTAGTGCATGGAAGTGGCCTAACAGAGGCCCCTTTATGTTCTTGACAGATAGGAAAATATCACTAAATGAAACAGATTCACTGAGTAAATAGGATGGAAAATAAGACCAACATCTTTAGATGTATTAGGAGCTAAACAGGGTACAAATCAAGAAAAGGTTTCATTTCAATTTTGCTTGGAGTCTTTAATAACACAAATATTCAGTGCTGGGAGATAGCTCAGTCTAGAAAGTGCTTGCTACACAAGCATGCAAATCTGAGTTTGACTCCCAGGCCCCATGTAGATATCTGGGCTTGATGGTATGCCTTTAATCCCAGTGCTGGGGAGGCAGACAGGAGAATCCCAGACCAGCCAGTCAGACTAAGGTAATCAGTGAGCCCCAGATCCCAGTGAGACCCTATCTCAGAACACAAAGTAGATGGCTCTTGAGAACACTACCATTGGCTGACTTCTGGCCTCCAAATGCACATGTACACATGAACATGCATACATACCCACATAAACACACCCAAGTGCACTGGTATTAAGACATACACACACAGAATACAGTCAATGAGAATATCAGGCCATGGGAATAAGAGCATATAAGAAATGGTAATTTGAAAACTAGATCAATTCTTGTATAGAAATTTCTTACCAAGAAGCTGTGATGATTTTTGGCTCAAAAGTATGATTTTACATTATAAATTTCTAATCCTTAAGCAAAGTTTGGTATAGAGTATATAGGATTTATTTATCTTTTCATTGTCATTTTGAGAACAGGTCTCATGTAGACGAACCTGGACTTGAATTTGCTATATAGCCAGTACTGGCTTTGAACGCCTGATCTTTTTGCTCTACATGCCATGTACTGGGATTATAGGTGTGTGCTACCACACCTGGCTTTTATGTTTAATGTTTTTATTTCTGCTTCTTTCTCCTAGCCTTGCCAACTAAAACATTATAGTAGTTTTAAAGAATCATGTTAATTATCCCTGGATCAATGATGTCTCCTTGACACCTAAATTTAACCATCTCCTGTTCCCTAGCATTTTACATTCACATTAGCACCTTGTCTACAAGTTTTAAAATGCTGCGCCTCTTAGGACAGCATTCTAGAGAGCATTTACATAAAACAGAGTCCTCACTGCCTTCTGTGGCAAGAGCTTAAGCCAGTCCTTTGAAGCTAGCACAAGACCTGTTCTGGAAAGTACTGCAGCATGTTCCATGCAGATGAAAAGGAGAACTGGACACAGCCCATAGATAGGGTGTTTCACCAAATTCTCAAGTTACGATAATCTCACTGTCTTAATCACTTCTATTGACAATGTCTTCTTCTTCTCCAGGGTCACAGACCATCTGGTAAACATAGCAGCTGAAGACCCGGTTGGGTTTCTGTTCGATGTGTAGCACCAAATCTCTGTCAAAGTAGACTTCATGGCTATATGTCTGTAACAAAAACACAGTCATATGAGACCTGCTTTTCACAAAAGCATAGGCACTGTTGTGTTACCAAAATATCATAGCAGTACCCCAGGAACCTTTTTATGTATACAGATGTGGAACACTTGTCAGAAATGGATTTCCCATTATTTATGTACATGTAGAAAATACAGAAAATTTAGAGACTGGAAAGAGCTGTGGACTTAGGAGCCAGAGTACCAGTTCATTCATTGTCAGCACTGCACATTGTCAGGCTGTTATGAGTGAGTACATGCACTCATATGCTCAAGTTCCTTACTGATAGAAAAAGGCCTAGGCAGAAGGTATGCTGTTCCTTGTAACTTTTACTTTTGTATATTTGCATCCTCATGTGTGTGTAGGGGTGTGTGTGCATGTGTGTGGAGGGCACAGGAAGATGTCACATGTCTTCCTCAATCTCTCTCCACCTTATTCATTGGATCTAGAACTTAATGATTTGGCTGATCTAGCAATCTTGCCTCAGAGATTTTGTCTTCACCTCCAAGTCAGAGGCTGTCACACCTACTAGCATTTATATGGGTGATGGGGATCCAAACTCGAAGTTCTTACATTTGCACAGCAACTGAACCATCTCCCCAGCCCCCTTGAAACTTGTTTAATGCCACCAACAACTCATTTTAGGTGGTGCTGGCAAGTGAACACAGGCTCTCTGGTATGTTAGGCTGATTGATACTCTACCCAATGAGCTATATCCCCAGTACATGTATATTTTATAGTATTTGGGAAAAAAAAAATATTTCCAGGTGCTGGAAACTCAACTTGCTCAGATATTGCCTCTTATTAACTAGCTGTGGGAGATAATTACATTATAATTTCATTTTAAAAAGCTACCAAACTTAAAATTGGAAGGAAAATAAAAGACTATAGTAAGGAAATAACATGCCTCAAAAACTACAAAGTTTTATCTTCAAAGGTACTGGTAAGAAGGTATCCCTAATGCTAAGAGGAAGAAGGCTTAGGAAGTACTCATTTTTGTCTTGCATGTTGGACAATAACTTTTTTTTCTTTTCTTTCAGTAACTTCTTTCATGTGGTCATGGCATAGGTGAGTCTGTCTGATAGGGACATGTTCTAATAAATGGCACCTGAAACGGAAACTCTTATAACTTAGGATCCCCCCCCCCCCAGACGGGTTTCTCTGTGTAGCTTTGGAGCCTATCCTGTCGCTCTCTCTGGAGACCAGGCTGGCCTCGAACTCACAGAGATCCGCCTGCCTCTGCCTCCCAAGTGCTGGGATTAAAGGCGTGCGCCACCAATACCCACAACTTAGTATTCCACTGGTTATACATACCACATCCCATGACTCCACTAGTGGGATACTCTTGAGTAGGGTCCCGTACTCATTACAGTGGAAATCCAGGTGAGCTTTTCCTTCGGCATCTATTTGAGTGACAGCTACTACAGAGAGCAAGTCCAACTCATCTTCATAGTCCACAATTTTGAAAGTCTGTAATTGGGTCAATTACAGTTAATGAGCTAGGAATATTCCTATATTTTAAATTTAATTATTCTATCCCTTATAAAAATATGACAGCAGGGAGAACAAATGGGTGAAAGAATTAGTAGAAATGTTTCTCTATGTATATACCTATAACGAATGGGTCATTCCCCAGATTTTCAGGTGTTAAGCAATATCCTGGAGACTTTGGCAAACAGAACCAGAAAGAATACTGGATCCCTTGGAATTGGAGTTGCAGGCCTTTGCAGGATGCCCAGTTTGTAACATGGGTGCTGGGACCTGAAACTGGTCCTAATGATTGACTGCTGAGCCACCTCTCCAGCCCAAAAGTACTGCCAGAACAACATCAACTTTATGGCTTTCAGTGTTTTGTTTTCCATTTACTTCTACAGGGATTGAAGCTAGGAGGAGTTGACTTTACTGTTGAACTACATTCATCATTCACCCTGAAGAATTTGTCTTTTAAGAACTATTTATCTTTTTAAAAAGTGTGTGTGTGTGTGTGTGTGTGTGTGTGTGTGTGTGTGTGTGTGTGTGTGTGCTTGCAGGTGCGTGTGTGGAGGTCAGATGACAACTCTGGGAAGACAGTTTTCTTCTGCTGCCTTGTAGGATCCAAGCACTGAGCTCAGGCCATCCAGCCTGCACCAGCCAGTGCACAGTGCTTCTATCTGCAGAACCATCTTGAGAGCTAACCATTAAATGCATACCTCACAAAAACAGTAAGCTAAATTGTATTTTCAAACATATTTGGCCCTATAAACTTTACTACAAATTATGCAGAAGATCCCAATTAGAAAACAGGACGTGCCTGACACTGACTGAAACAACACATACCATCCCACTGCAGGGATCCCCTATCCAGTGTCGACCCCAGGGCCAGGAGTGGCTGCTGGCTTGGATTGTTATCTTTGACTAAAGAATACCTCTTGTTCTGGGTCATCATCCAGAAGGTTGACATTTCTTTTCACCACTCGTCCAGAAGCTGTAACAGTGATTAAGTTTTCATTCTATGGGGGGCGGGAGGGAAGGAAGGAAAATCAGGATATGTTCCATTATATGCAATCAAAGAAAATAGTCCTCAGAAAATGTGGTAAAACCAGCTGGCCCTTCCAACACCCACAATCCTGCAGCTGACTGAGAAAATTCCAAATTAAATTAATTTAAATCTAATTTTCAATCCCTCACTCAGTGAAAAATAATTTATTTTAATAAAGGTTTTAAATGGATAAAATGTCAGAATAGGCAAAAATTAATTAGTTAAAGGTTATAGATTTGTTCTTCATTCATCCTTCTGACTTTTGCCTTAGTACAGTACAGACAACTAAAGGCAGATCTGCTTTCAGAAACTTCCCTCTTCAAGGGTCTCAGCTTATTCACTAAAGAGAAAATAACAGCTACAGTTAATGTATGGTATCTGGTTTTACAAGATTTATACCATACCTAGCCCTAATTTTGCACAACTTTTTAGAACCAAAGATTCACAATGCATCACTAAAAAAAAATTGAAGAGAAAAAAAAGAAATAGGCAAAATAAATGCAGTATAATCAACTGTCTTCAAATCTCATCTGTGAGGTTAGATCAGTGACTCAGGCAGACTCTGCAGAGCTGGTGTCTGCAGCCTACCAGGGAAACATGCATATTACACACTACCTTGATGCTCTACAGAAAGGACATAAATATTTCTGACTTACTCTGTCTTCTCTATTGGCCCAAATGACAAAATCTTCAGAGATCTGATGCTGAGAACTATTATTTTCTACCTCACTTAGCTTCAAGACTCTGAAAAGAAAAAAGAATTCTAAGAACTCAAGATTGCAAAGCATCATCAAACCGCCAAAGCTGTCCTCAAATGAAACTCATCAAAGGAAACCTACAGCAACTCACTTCTCCTCCATTGACTAGTCATAATATTAATTTATTGCCAAAATCTGTTACACTCACATTTGTGAGATGGAAAAGTGCAGCTGTGAAGAGCACCACTGAAACGGTAACACAGTGGCTTCCTCAGGCCTAAATCATTTTTCAGCAAGCTTAATGACACCACCATGCAAACCTCACCTCTTCCTGAAGCAGGCCCCCGTGTCCCACCCCTATCTACAGTAGAGTAGATAGTTGCACTGTTGTTTCTGTAGCATATATAGCTAAGAATCGCACTTAGGGTTAACAGTGACTGAGGCAGGACCAGCAATTAACTGGAATGCAGGACTCTCCAAAGAGAGTAAAATCTGCATCCAACAATACCATGCTTTTTTTTTTTAGGATTATATTTAAAGATTTGGATTTGCAGAGTATAAATGATCTCATGGGTTAAGCTGATTAATCATGAGAAAATAAACTAATTTGCTTTCCACCCACAGAAATCTGTTCACATCATTAAAAGCTTCAAAATCACAATGTTCTCAAAAGCTTTAAAGTCCCAATGCAAAGAGAACAAGCAAGGAGGAGCCACCATGGCAGGGACATCTGGATACCTCACAGTTGACGACAAAGAAATCAGATAATGTTTTAAACCGATGGATAAGTTTTGTTACTTAATGGAAATAGTCAAAGGGCCTTATCTTTTAAGACCTGGGGAGAAGCCAGGCTTGGTGGTACATGCCTTTTATCCTAGCACTTTGAAAAAAAAAAACAAAAAACAAAACAAAAAAAAAAAAAAAAAAAAAACAAAAAAAAAACCCTTTTAAAAAAAAAAAAAAAAAAAAAAAAAAAAAAAAAGTTTCTGGTATGAGACAGGTGCATGGTCTGAGTTAGTAGATAGTGGGGTGGGGGTTGGAGGAAGGACAGTATACCTCCAATCTTTTAAATCAAGGGAATGCTAGAATCAAACAGGAAGAAAATCCTGAATGAGGAAGAGGAACTAAATACTGAGAGTGAGCATCTGTTAGTGGGAGTCTGAGTAGAAGAGCAAAACCATGAAAGATTATAACAAAGAAGGCTGAGAAGCAGGAGAAAATATTTTTCATGCCAGGGAAACCACTTGAAGATCATTTTAAGGTAGAAGGTTGACTCGAAAGAGGACAGTAAACAAACACCAGTGTATATAAGGTCAGAACAAAGGCAAATCACCATCTTTCTCTAAGGGTACCAGAGAGTGGACCAGGACCTCACTCACCACAGGAAAGTGCTTTACCACTGAAATATATGTCCAGCACCACTCCCCCTTTCTTGTTTGTTTGTTTTTTTAAAAAATATAGTCTCACAAAGTTGCCCAGGCTGGCCTTGAACTTGTAATCTTCCTTTTGGGCAGCTGGGATTTCAGGCCTGTGCCACCTGACTCAGCTATCTGCTTTCTTATCAGTCCTAGAAAATGAAGACCCGTTTAGGTATGTGGCACATTCCTATAATCCCAGGAGTCAGGGCACAGAGGCAGAAAGACCATGACTCAAGGCCAGACTGGGCTACAGATACATGCAGCCAGTATGTAATACTTACAGACAGTAATGATAAAGCTAAAGAATAAAACCAGATTGTGTAGACAACAGTCTCTCAGGAAATACTCTGCACAAGCAAATTTTTCATAAAATTACAATGGCTACAAGCAAAATAAAAATGTCAATAAATGCTATAAAAATTGCTTTTAATTTTAAAGTACTAACAAAATTACTCACTTGACTTGATTTGGGCCAACATGTATAATTCTTCCAGAAGCATCAGGGTGGAAATAGATCCAGTCAGATTCTAGTGAACAACACTCCATTTCTTGGATCCCATTTTTTGCCTGAAGTTGGAAAAGAAATAAGACAGGGATTAGAAGGGTAAATAAAATTTCAAATCAACCTTTTTGGTAACTCAGATATAGGAAAGAAAATATACAGTAGGTGAAGTGGGTCGTGTATGAGGGCCAAATGAGGATTCACAAATTCACAACATTTCAAGTCAGAAACATCACAGATTTACCCTGTGCCATGTAGTAAATAACAGTAACTCAAGCTGCCACCTCTCCTGCATGTGCTGTGTATTGGCGGCTGTGGTGATGCTTCATCACTGTTGCATTGAATTTTAATAACACTCAAAGCAAATATCAACCCCACACCTAAACAGGTCTTCATTTTCTAGGGCTGATGAGAAAGAAGATAGCTGAGCCAGGGCAGAGGCCTGAAATCCCATTGACGGCTAAGAGACTGACACACAAAGAGAATAAATATTTGCCCAATGTTCTGAACCTCTTAAACAGCAGATCTGACTCCAAAGTCCACAAAGTTTCCATTACTATATACATGCAGTTCCCTCCAGCTTCCTCCTCCCAACCCTACCCACAGCTGCCTGTCAATCAGAAGAGTCTGTACATTCACATAGACACGTAACCAAACCAAGAGTCTCTGACTCAGGTCATATAATCTCCTTAAATAAGTCAAATATTAAACTCTCATATCTGAGAAAAGAGTCTAATACTGATGAACATTTAAGACAAGAATAGCCTGATTCTAAAACATGCAGGTATACTTAAGACATTAAAATAAAAAAAGCAAAGTAGGTGCTACACACCTTTAATCCTACTACTTGGGAGGCGAAAGCAGGTAGAGTTCTACGAGTTCAAGCCTGGTCTACAAAGTGAATTCCAGGACAGCCAGGGGCACATAGTAAGATCCTGTCTCAAGAAAGGGGGGTGGGTGGGCACTCTATGACACATGATCCATGTATACTCATGTTTTATCTTTCTACACAGCAGTACCGGGAACTAATAGCAGTGTGCATCCACTAACTTCTGCCTTGGTAATTATTTGTACATGTGCTAATATACAGGCCTGACCAAATGTTGTAATTGTTATAGTAGAGAGTATGTGATGGGTATGCTTAAAGACCACTTATTTACTTATGAAAGAACGCATAGGATAAATTCTTACATAAGAATATATGCTAAATGTATAGGATATGCATTGTCCAAGGTATGACTGGATGCAAAATTAGGTGGAACAGAGGGTCATAGGTACTGGTGGTTGAAGAAAGTCCTGGTTGTGAGGTGAACAGTCACACCAGGACTTATAATGGCAAGAAAATTCTTTGTAAAATGTTACAAAAGGGGGTTTCACTGGGGGAGGGGGGACAACAGAGGCTGTTATATGTGACCAAGAAGTGAGAAAATGGAGAGAAAAATGTTCTTACAAAAGTAAACTACAAGACACTATGACAACAGTAAGAGAGGATAATAGGACCTAAGACTATGCTGACCTCCAACATGGTGAAAGGTGGTGACCTGTGACTCTAAAAGCCACTGGAGCCAATAGTGACTAACTGTGCAAGGATCCTGCAAGACTTGGGTGTGGAATACACTGAGTCTACCTCATAAAAAGTGAATTTATCTGATATAACAGGAGATTCTAGGAATAAATGACATAAGTCCGCAGTACAAAGAAAGATGAGAGTTGCAGCATGGGTCAGTGGGTAAAGGTGCTCTCTGGGCAGGCCCAGGACACACAAACATGGAAAGAACCTTTGGGAAATATAAACAATCTGAAGGAAGAAAATGTATCCCCAGCCATGTCTGGCCATGCTAGACCTCAAATGATCAAATGGAAAATCAAGAAAAGAAATTATACTTTGAATGAAAATTAAGATGAATTTAATTGGTTAAACTTTTACTGTTTTGCCATGAGCTGTTTCTTTCTGTGGTGCCAGAAGCAACTTGAGGAAACCCTTGAAAACCCACCATTTCAGCGCCAACACTGTGAGCTCCAGAACTCCATCTGGTTCTGCTCTCTTCAAAATCAACAACACATTCCACAGCAATTTCAGAGGCAGCCTGAGTATATTCTAGCAACAGTTCCCACGGCAGCATCTGAGAGATGCTTTCCATGAGAACCCTGCTGTAAAACTGTTAGAACAAAACCCTTCACTATGTATGGTGACACATAACTACTGTCACAGCAATTGGGAGGCAAAGATGTGAGTATCAGATGTTCAAGGCCAGTCTTGCCTATGTAGTGAGCTTGAGATCAGCTTGGGTTACCTGAGTGTCTAGGACAGGGAGGGAGAAGGAGAAAGGGAGAGGGAAACAGGGAGAGAGGGAGAACAAGAATCTTTCAAAAATTCGTGTTTTAAAAATCTGGGTGAAAAAAACAGTATTTCCTATGTTCTCTACATTTTAAATTGTTCACAAGTGCAGCATGTGGTGGTGTACACCTTTAACCCCAACACTGGGGTATCGGAGGCAGAAGGATCCCTGTAAGTTCCAGGCCAGACACCTCTACATGGAGACCCTGTCTAAATGAGAAAGTAATACCTGGCCATACAGAGCTACAACAGAAGTAGGGAATAAAAATTTCTAATACAAATTTACTACTAAAAAGTTGAGTACTCATAAATTACCAAGGAATTATCTTTTAGGGCACAAATATGGAAGACTCCTTTCTGTTTCTTCTTATTAGGTGTGATGATGTAGTGCCAAGGATGGCCTCCAATCTGAAATGCATTCTCCAGGGATGAGACTTCAAAGAGTGGACATGGTGAGTCTGTAAGATGAGCAAGAGAAATTTATTAGCTTCTCATTTTAGGTGGACTTGCACCATTCATTAACTAAGTTCATCTTTTCTTGGTATATATACTTTATGAAGTGCCATTTATGAAAAATTACTATGTTCAAAGGAATAAAATGCAGTCACAAAAGAAGGTTGTTAAGAGAATAGAAAGATAGCACAAAACAAAGTGAAGCTATTAGTTAAATTTCTAGGCATGTATTTTGGTGGGAACATGAGGCCTACATGAAGACAAAAAAGGGGGGGTGAGGCTGAAGGTGCTTATCATGGGGGTGAAGGAGACAAATACATAATAAAACTGCAGCCATCCCCAAGGATCTATGTATAAGACTCTGGGTTAGCCACAATGTCAACTCCCTGAACAAGTGAGGAATGTAATTAGGTCTAATCTTTCAAAGACAAGGAGGCCTTCCATATCATAGCCTGACAGATATATACCAGCAACTATACAAAAGCTGTCCTGTGTTACATTTCTTGTATAGAAGGAACATTAGTTTGAATGAATGTAGCCAGTCTAGAATAGGGTCTGCCACAATTAAGGCTTTATTAAAGAGTAGACATCACTACCAGTATTACCATCAAACACGCTAATTTTTACAGACATATCCAATTAGTCTCTTGGGGATGGACATCAAAGGAAATCTTGTTGGTGCTTTTTTTCTCTTCCTCTTTGATCATGGTTTTAATTACAACATAATAGATCCACTCTAAACACTGTAAGGAAAAGGTATTGCAATGAGGTCATAATTTCTTTTGTGGTTATAGATTACACTGCTCATCTATAGCCTCCTGATTTGTGCTTCTACCTTGAGAATATCTGGTTTATAAAGTCACTCATCTTCAAGGGGTTACTTTCAGAAAGATCACTCATGTAGGAGTTACATGTTAAAATGGAAATGTGTGCTTTGTCAAGGCTCTTCTTACTTCTGAGAGCTATACACAGGAAAAAAAATTAAAAGTAGCACACAAACAATTCCGGGGAGAAAGAACAGGTATAGATATAGTTATAGCAAATATATTAAAATACTTCAAAACTTTTAAGAAAAGGAAAATACCTTTAATAAACAAAGGTCTTTTCAAATCAAAGAAAAATATTAATATTCCAATATAATAACAGCCAAAAGGCATGTATCAGTAACTCATGAAAGAGATTCAAATGTCCTGTGATAATAAACTCAGGTTCGGTTCCCAGAACTCTATCTACAATAAAGTTCCAGGGGATCCAGCACCCTCCTCTGGCTTCTGTTGGCTCCAGACATACATACAGTGACTTACATACAGCAGAGCTTTCTCAACATGTTTGTACTGAATGCAGAGGTTATTTCTGAGGTTAGGAGGTATTGCTAACTTTTCATTAAACTGACTAATTCATTTAAAAATGAATCATTTTTAAAAGCATTTATTATAGACACAAATGCTAAAAGACAGTTAATATAATAACATCATCATTTGATTGGTCTCAAAATAATCCAGTAAGTGTGTGGAGTAGAGAGAAGAATGGGGTGGGAGCAGAGAAAACCAAGACAACATTAGACAAGAACTGGAAGAATGTGGGGGGTCGTTAAGTTTACAGGTCTTTGAGTAATGACTGGAGATATCCAGTCTTTTCTTACAAACACGGAATGGCTGTGTGCCTGCCTGCTTATCCTCAGGTCTCCTCCTCTCCCTGGCTCCTTTGTTTCCCTTTTCTTGCCACTTTACAAATCATCCAGTTGGGAATAGTCCATAAGACTGAACTTCAGTCACTGAGGAATAGCTAGGACTCCCTTCATGTTGGGGATAAAAGCCATAGGCCGTCTTGGTGCTGCGTGTTTGCTAGCCCAGTTTTGCTCATAGCACACTCCTTTCACAAAAAGAAATTGCCTTGCCTGGTTACTTTCATTTTGTTCATGTGTTTCTTTGTGTGACACCAAAATTATTCATTTCCAGCAATAGGAACATTTATAAAAAGACATAGGACTACAGAAACAAAAAACATTTATTTTAGACTTCATGGATAGCATAACTGGTCATACTGAACACTTTTCATAGTTTATATGACTACCATTTGCCACTAAACAGAACTGTCTTTTCCTTTCTTGCATCTTTCATTTCTGTTTTTTGACCTATTTGTTGATGATACAATGGCAAATGATGATAGGAAAAAATGCCTGTTTTATTCTGCTATATCAGAAAACCTTCTGGAGGTTAACCTAAAAAAACATAGTGTTTATTGGTTAAAAATAGATGAAAATGTTCTCAGCATCATAATGAGTGACTCTTAGTGAATTACGAGTAGAGACCAAAATACTAGGATAATGCCACTTATCTAATTACCTCTTTTTTTTTTTTTTTTTTGGTTTTTCAAGACAGGGTTTCTCTGTGCCGCTTTGGAGCCTGTCCTGGCACTCGCTCTGGAGACCAAGCTGTCCTGGAACTCAAGAGATCCGCCTGCCTCTGCCTCCCGAGTGCTGGGATTAAAGGCGTGTACCACCAACGCCCAGCCTAATTGCCTCTTTTAACTGGACTGCAATCATCAAGCTGTCCTTGAATCTTGGATGCCTGAGAAGAGATCTGGACAGAGCTGCTATCTCCACAGTGTGCGACAGACACTCAAACACCCTATCTAATTTGTTAATTTCCTTTGGCAGATAACCACCCCCCAAACATTAAATTATATTGTTCTATAACAGGAAACAATTTCATAGGCTATGCTTTTGAACATTATTATTTTACTTTTTTTTTTTTTTTTTGAGACAGAATCTCATGCAGCTCAGACTGGCAATCAATTGCTGGCTTTTTACTACATTGCTGAATTTAATAAATCGGGGTGGTTTTTGTTTGCTTGTTAGTTGTTTTTGAGAAGGAGTCTGATGTAGCTCAGGCTGGTCTCAAACTCACTATATAGCCAAGGATGACCTTGAGCTCCTGATGCTCCGCCTCCACTTTCCAGGTGCTGGCATGAAGGGATGGGCCACCATACCTGGCTCAGTGAGTGAGTTAAATGCAGAACTTTTTTTACTGTCCTCATTGAATCATGTATAATTTTCCTTTTTATTCTTCATAGGTCTAGGATCTGTCTATCTTTAGTTAGCACAGCATTAATATTTCCTTGAAAAACACTATTCTTAGAAATGCCTAGACTTAAAATTAAAAAAACAAAAAAACCTTAGGTTATAAGGAAGTTAAGATGATATGAATTCCCGCAACTCATCATTTTCTAGACAAGGAAATCAAGGCATAAGAAGGTAAAATAACTTGCCAGAAAGCTCAGTATCCTCTGGCCTTCATCCTAGTGAAAAATGGACAGAATTGTGCTGACATTTATTCAACAGTAAGGGATATACATCTTGTATGGAAGTAAAATGAGCCAGTGTGCAGAAAGAAGAGTGTGGGTGCTTTCAATGCAGAACTATTCATATAAGCACTTACTTTCTTAAGTTGAAAGATCCTGTATAGCAGCCATACCTGTGATTTTAACATTACAAGGAATGCCAAAAGGAGCCTCTCCTACAGTCCCAGTAGTCCCGCCCTGACTGCATGCACACCCTAAGTCAAGTTTCTGCTGCATGAACTAAAAACAAAACAAAACAAAAATTGTGGCTTTAGAGCCTATTTATGAAAAAATAATATTTACATGTACATGATAGAGAAAATGCCTTTATTCAAGTGCCTTTCTGTTCATCATCCCCACCCTTCTTGCAAAGGTTACTGTGTCTTTTCATATTTCTACAATAACTTTTATAAATTATAACTGTGCCAGTACCTGACTTGTTGAAAACATTAACAACAAACTTCGGTGCAAGCCTCATACTGAGTGTGATTTTCTCTACCTGTTCGATGATGGCTTGGAAGCTATACAGTCTGACCAGTCCTGAGCTGTACATCACAATCAATATTCCATGTGACAAGGTAGCATCTGTGACATTCGCAAAAACCTAAGGGGAAAGGCAGATGTCAAAAGGCCAATCCTCCGAGTAGTCAAGGCATTTGTTTCCTGCTGTATATTCAGGTCATTCAGGTTTCTGCCCCACATTAAAACTCAATTAAAATTTAGCAGCTTGAAGTTGGAGTGTTATTAGAGGCAAGCAGCAAGCCACTAGATCCTCAGGCTGGAGCATCAATGGAAGCACTGCATGCAGGGCTCAGAATGATATGTCAGCATCCATTTACTGTACAGTTTTGTCAATACAAAGTAATTAAAAATTCTACTTTTCATGGAACAGTGGTATATAGTGAGGCCATGTAATTTTAAATGAGTATTTATTAGTTATATCCAATACAGACTCATTTACATTAAAATATCCTTCATAAAGACAAATATTCATAGCTGCTTAAAGGCAAAAAAGACTGGGCCTTGGAAAGTAATTGCAAGAGAAATGGCCAGCTGCAGATCCATGTGTGTTCGTGTGCCATGGGTACAGTGCATGTATGTGAGTAGGTACATAAATCCATGCTCCTGTATGCAGTACAAGAGGATGACACTGGGTGTCCTGTTCCACCACTCTCCACTTTATTCCTTGAGACAGGGTCTCTCTCACTGAGCCCACAGCTTTCCACTTTTGCAGCTAGGCTAGCTGCCTGGCAAGACCTGGGAAACCCTTCCTGGGCAGTGCTAGGGTTGCAGGTAGACATGGCCACACTTGGACTTTATGTGGGTACTGAGGATCTAAACTCACATTCTCATGATTATATAGCAAGTACTCTTACCTACCAAGTCATTTCCCTAGTTCCCAACTCCAGATTTTTGTCACTATTATGATCTTGAATTTCTACTGAGGTTGGATTTCTCAACTGCTTAAAAAGCAAAACCATAGAGACCAAACCCCTATAGACATTTATTGAGAATAAGGTTTTGGCTTATTGTTCCCTAAAATTTCTATTCTTGACTCTTGTGATGATTTTCTCTACAGCTCTGAAAAAGGACACAATTCTGTGCCTATTTTAATATTCAACAAAAAGCAAAGCAGGCAAATATTTATAGTACTGGAAGCTGTATAGAGGAAATAAAAATCTGTTTTGACTTCTATTCAAGGAAGATTACTACTCAGTGAAGATGTAGCATGGTAAACGTAGCTTAAGCATATGACTGCTCAAGAGCTTCACCCCTGTACACTTTTAATACATATAATAAGTGAAAGATGCACTGTAATCCTGAGTTTTAATAATCAAAACCAAATCCCTCAGTGATTATGTTGGATACATTAAAAATAAACAGGAACAACTTTGACTTTGACAGTCCTTTTGTGTTTGTTCCTGCTGTAGAATGTAATACACATATAATTACTTAATCCACAGCATAAAGAAAACAATGGAGTTACAAGTTGGGCTTTTTGTCATTTTCTTAGAAAGATAATTATGGTTTGCTTTGAGTTGTGTAGCTCTTAGCTTCTTAATTCCCTACTCCTGGTTCCACACTTTGAAAAGAAGTACTTGGGTAATTCAAACATTTTTAAATTAGTAAATAGCTGCTCAACTTCTAATACAATACACTGTCACAATGTCTTAAAGTACTTTAAAGTGACTAGCAACACAAAATAAACTATAAGTGATAACTACTATTATTCTTCAATTTATGCAATTTAGTATAAGCTTATATAACAGGAAATGTTGAAATAGATTTATCTTGTTTGCTAATGAATACTAGTAGATTCTCAAGATCTTGTCTCCTACAATATTTTCAGTGTTTAAACACTAGTACAGGAACCCTGAAGATAACCTTTATACAAAGTGAGAATTTCTAAAAACAAAGTAGACTATTGACTCTTTCACTCAATTGAAATTTGGCTCTTCTTTTCTCTATGTAGTCCACAAATCAAGACAAATGGGAACACAATAAAAGCCCAAACTGCATGAGTTAGAAAATTTATATATTCCATTACAAGTCTTGTTTATATGCTATAAAGCAAGTTTTAGACCTGTACCTTTTAATTAAAATGAGACATTCTGTTGAAACCTAATGATCATTTTAACAAGCTTTGACATATTCCCTTTGAAAAAAAATTCCTTAAGTATTTCATGATTTTATAAAATAGCAGTTTACTAATGACCACAGATTTCCAACACTAATAACACTAACCATCTGAGAGGCATAAAAACATGCAGGAAGCTTAGGCTTCTTCCCAAGTCAAATGTTTACATTTTGATTTGAAAAAAGACAGATCAGTAAACATTTTATAGACAGAACATTCCCAATCAAAATATCTAATAAATAAATGAAGATATTACACTTAATTGTCAATAAAATATCGCACTTAAGTAATTGTAGTGTGCTGATGCACAACTTTAATTCCAGCACTTTGGAGAAAGAAGCTGGTAGATCTCTGAGCTTAAAGCTAGCCTGGTCTACATAGTGAGATCCTGCAACAAAAATAAAAAAAGGAAGAAATTTAGTTTTCTTACTTTTTTGTTGATCTCTAGAATCCCTACAAGTGAAAAGGGGAGAACCCGGAATACTGCAAGGTACAACAAAACAGGCTGCTGGGTGCCCACCTAGAAGAAAAGAATAAAATTATAGGTAGCTCTACAAAGTACTTCACAAAACAACTGTCTTCACAAGTTCAGAATATCCATCTGTCCTTATATTATACAAAAGTTTTCATGAATTGAGGATATTCACCTACTTAGATCGAAAAGTTACTTCACCAATAAAGCAAACATACTTAACAAGCCTACCAATCTTCCAGCTCCTCACACACCAAAAGTGCATAAACATAAAATTCTACAAAGGGAAACATAACAGAAGCATTTCTTACCATCAAAATGCTATGTATTTGTTTGTAAACTGGAGTTCTAACAATGAGCCTAACCAAAAGCATGGTGTTACCATGGTCATATCACTGAAAGTACTTGTATTCTATGACTGTTCTGAAGACAGACACTATGCCAATAAAAGGTTGAGTGATTTATCAACTTGGAGAAGAGAGCTCCTTTATCTTTTTTTTTTTTTTTTTGAGCTCCTTTATCTTGAAAAAACAAGCTCCTAAAAATTATTTTCATTATGAAATGCAAAATAATCTATTGACTTCTCTAGTGCAGAATTCTAGGGAGTATCTTCAATTTAGGAGTGGCACAGCTGCTGGCCCCATCACAGCAAAAGTCTGCTTGAGCAGAAATTAGGTTTGAACATGAAGATTATCAATCAAAACCACAGGAAATAAAAGCGAAAGCACAAACAAATACAGAGTGTGATGTTTAAAGTCCTAGAGACCTTCCCTTTTAAAAAAACACACTTTTACTAAGCTAAGCTCCGTGTACCTAAAACCTAAATATTTATATATTCTGGGATCTGGTCTCAAATGCAGAAATGCTGACAAGGCTTTTAATTACAATATCAGGTGATAAATAAAAACCTCCAGAGTTAGACAGAAGTCCTCGTTCTTCCGGTATTTAAATTCCTAAAGAGACACATTAGATCACGCACTTCTAGAATTCTCATGAAATGTTGTGTTACTTCATTAGAATATTTAACTTTTATGAACTTTCCTTTACCAAAGCAGAGAGCTACACAGTGAGTGTGAAAAACAGCAACAATAGACAGCAACCCTTTCTCAGGCCGGCCACCTTGATAATATAAGGAAAGGGCCAAGGAGACCCCAATGAAAGTTATGTAGTTATGCTGTTAACATGACTGGGCAAAGTATGGGAAGCATTTATAAATAACCATCATTAAAAGTAAGTTTAGGTCTGGTGAAATGGCTTAGTGGTGAGGTGTTTGACTCCTGCAAGCTGTCCTCCTCTATATGTTTGCTGTGCCATGTGCTCCACGCACCACACATAGAAATAAATTAGTGTTATTTAAAATTTTAGATGAAGTTTAAAAAGTGAATCAGTAGCTTATTTGGTTCAGTGGGATACAGAAAGCCAAGGAGGCAGGTAAGAGAGGAATGGAAAGCAGAAGTGGGAGGAGTTGATAATGGAATATCTGATATGGCTATTTAAATAAGGTAAAAGCAGCAGAGGGACTTTTTAATTTGTGAAAAGTTTCTAAGTCAGGTACAGTAGCACACCCTGGCAATCCCAGCACTTGGCAGGCTGAGGCAGGAGGATCCCAGTTTAAAGACAGACTAGGCGGCACAGCCAGACTCTCTAAAAACAAAATATCAAAAAAACAAACAAAAACAAAAAAAAACCCAAACCAAAAAAACACCCCAAAGAGCCACCCTAGATTTCTAAGTAACTTACCTGATAGTCAATGTTACAGGAAAATTTTTAAAAGGCTATGTTTTACATTAAATACAAGAAGTAACTTGAAGACAGATCTTGCCAAAGGCAAACAGAAAATAACTGCTTCTTAATACAGTTGTTTTTACAAACCCTGTCTTAAGAAAACCTCTGAGGAAAATAAAATCTGTATTTTATAAAAATGCTCAATAAGTCTTTCCTTATAATTTACAACAGAAATAAGTTTAGGTCTAGGCTTTATAAATTGTGGGTGATGCTTTTTTGGGGTGGGGGACAGGGTCTCACCATGTAGCCCTGGCTGGCCTCCTGCCTACGCTGAGATTAAGGCCCTGCACCACCATGTCTGACAACCCTGGGTGATTCTTTGAGAGAACAGCTGAGGGGTATAGTTCAGCATAGAGCAGTAGACGAGCATGCACTAGGCCCTGGGTTCAATCCCCAGAGCCCCACATTACATAAACAAAAATAAAACAGAGAGGCACCCATTTGAACAGTTTGCTTTGGAAGAAAAATATCTTCAAATTTAAACAGCACTCATCAGTCGCCAAAGGCCATGAGCTTTAACAAGTGTGCTGACCTGTCGGGCCACTGCTGAGCCTTTGTTCTGAGCTGACTTGACTGCAATGACCTCTTGAGGAGTGTCCCAGCTCAAGTACCTTTGGAAAGAACAAAGAGGAATTTAGAGTTTTGAGCCAATCCCTCTATATTTAAAATCAAAGCATTATTCTTCATTTACTCACCTATCTACATTTGTTTTACATTTTTGCTTTTTTGAGATACAATTTGGCCTAGGACGCTTTAGGTGACTTAGGCTGGCTGATCTTGACGCTGCTATCCTACTTCTGAGAGTCCCTCCTGCTGAGATGACAGGCGCAGGCATAAACTGCCATGTGTGGCTTTTTTTTTTTTTTTAAATATAACTTAAATTATAAAGGCAGGGTAACCTATTTTAAAACAAACAGCTTTAGTAATTTCCTCTAGATGCTTACATACATACATCTCATACAAAGGGTATTGAAGGAGGAGATCTCTCTCTCTCTCTCTCTCTCTCTCTCTCTCTCTCTCTCTCTCTCATTGTCCTGGGTGTCCTGGAACTCACTCTGTAGACCAGGCTGGCCTTGAACTCAGAGATCTGCCTGCCGCTACCTTAGAGTAAAGGCATGTACTACCACCAACTGGCAAATTTTAATTCTTCTAGAGTCTTTAATTAATTAATTAATTAATTTTTATTTTTTTGTGACAAAACCTATTGTAACCCAGGCTGGTCCTGAACTTGATATGTCACTTGATATGTGGATAACGGTGAAAGTCTGATCTTCCTGGCTCAGCCTTCTAAGTGTTGGGGGATTAAGAGCATCTGCTGCCATTCCAGTTACAAACAGTTTCTGAGGAGGATGTTGAGATGGCTTGGTGGCTAAGAGCACTTGTTGCTCTTGTAGAGGATCCAGGTTCAGTTTCCAGCACTCACATAGTGACTCACAACCATCCATAACTCCAGTTCCAAAGGATCTGATGCCCCTTCTGACTTCCATGGGTACTGGGCAAACATGAAGGAAGATGACTCACAATAAATAAATAAATAAATAAATAAATAAATAAAATGAAGATATCCATAAAAAACATTTTTAACCTAAGAGCATTCCAACATTAGAAAGTGAAATGACCAGGGCTGGGGATGAAGCTCAGTTGGGAGAGTGCTTGTCCTGCAAGCACAAACCTGGCTTCAACACCAGTATAGAATTAACTGTATATGATGGTGGATGCCTGCAATGCCAGCAGTTGGGAAGAAGAGGCAGGAGGTCAGTTTGAGAGCCAGTCTCAAAATGCAAGCAAACAAACACACAAATAAAACAACCTCCTGCACACAAAGAACCATTCCTAATTTATTTTTATTTATTTCTTTTAGTTTTTCAAGACAGAGTTTCTCTGAGTAACCCTGGCTGTCCTGAAACTTGTTCAGGCTGGCCTCAAACTCAGAGAGATCCACCTGGCTCTGCTTCCCAAGTGCTGGGATTAAACGCATTCACTATTTCCAATTTTAATATAAAAAGTATTAAAAATACTACTTTTACAAATTGCATACTCATAACCATTCTAAAATTTACATCTAATGATAAACTTGTAGTTAAAATTGCATTTCTTGGATTATACTAGAATAGAGAACTCATTAGCCATCTACCTCTAACTATTATGTATAGGATAGCTACTTGTTAGGGATACAATGATAAATAATGTCAGGTGCTAGCCTCGGATCTTTAAACAGAGCAAAGTAAAGGAACAAAAAAGAGTAGTTCATAAACTGGGATCATAAAATATACTGGAAAAAAATGTGACAGAAGGCAGGACTGAAAAGGGGCTTAAGATTCCCTGGGCCACAGGTCTCAAAAAACTTTAAATAAGAACTTCATAGTTGATACCTGAACTTGCAATAGGAAGCAAGGTATATTTTCTCCAGGATTTCCCCTGTAGTTGCTGATATACGAAGCAGCCAATTATGCGCAGTCAGTGCTATGAGTGAGGACTTATAATCTGATGGGTTGGGAAGTATTTCCCCCTAAAAGGAAAGAGAGAGAGAGAGATAAAAAGAAACTGCTTAGCTATGAACAATCTGCAGTACTCTGTGTCCAAAGAAAATGGTTAGTTACCTCGTCAAATGAGTAAACCAGAGAATTATTAACTGCACAAATGAAGACGGCAAGGGAAAACAAGACTGTGGGTTGTTACTTTAGCCATTATTATTTAATGCTTTTAAAATTTGTCATCATTATTGTGTGCTTATGGGTGCACAAATCACAGTGCATATGTGGAGGTTAGAAGACAACAGGAAGACTGTTTTCTTCTTCCTCTTGCTTGTTTGAGACAGGGTAGCCTATGTAGCCTTGGCCAGTTGGTACTCACTCTATAGATACGATGGCCTCAGACTCAGAGATCTGCCTGCCTCTGCCTATTGAGTGCTGGGATTCAAGGCGTTTGTCACCATGCTCAGTTCTCCTTCTGCGTTCCTGTTGGTTCTGGGGATCACACTCAGATTGTCAGGTTTAGGTCTCTGAGAAACACTTTACCCACTGGCCATTTCATCACTAGTCTTTTAAACTTATTAGATGAGTTTATTCATGTATATATACAAATGAACACACAGCATTTACACAGCATCTGGAAGAGCTCACTCAATATCGCTTACCAAGTATTCCCCAAATGTAGCCAACAATAACAGGAGTATTAGCAATGCTGCTGCGGTGGTAACAGAACTACTGAAGCTCTTAGAATCAAGCAGTAAGAGTCACTGTTTTGACATGGTACAGGTCTGATGCAGAAGGGAAAGAGGAGCAAATGTTTTGATTTTGGTTAGTAAAGTTATGAACTGAGAAGTTGAAATTAACGTGGCATTTGCTTTGGTAAAACACAAACAGGAAAGCAGAGGCCACAACCTCTGCATAAGCTACAAGAGTTGTCTTCCCTCTCAAATTCCAGGGAAACAACTGTTTGCTTTTAGTTTGCTTGGTTTTATTTGTTTATTTTTGCTGTTTCTTAGGCAGACCCTGTATAATGGAGACTGTGAACTAGTCCTCCTGCATCCACACTGATGTTGTAATTTTTAAATGTTATTAACTGAATTATACTTAATTTGTAAGCAACAACATGAATGCTTTATACTATAATGTCTTATGTATCATCTCATGTAGACCTTAAGAGTTTTAAAACTATCTACTATCCCTACCTAGTCCATTAGGGAGACATTTGGAACAAGTACATATTATAGATTTGAACTATTTTCTTAAACCCAAAATGGCATTTCATACATTATCTCAGAAACAAAACAAAATAAACAGTGCTAATTTTAAAGTAGTTTTGTATCCATATATTAGGAATACAGTGTTCCTTTGAGTTCTTCATAGAAAATCTTGTGTCACCACAAATAAAAACAAAATCATTTTAATGTTTATGGAATGAGAATAAGAATTAGGCTAACTTTATTTTTCCAGGACTGCTCTATATTTTGGGTGTTTGAATTGGTATATTCAAACTTTCTCAATTAAGAAACCTATCATCTCCCTAATCCCCCTCAAGAAAATAGATTAAAAGGCTTTAAATTGTTTAAATCACATTATTTACAGCTTTCAATTAAAGAAGAAGAAAACAGGCTTCAAACTTTCTAATTTTTAAAAAAGAGACCTCTATGAAAAGAGAGTAATTATAGGGAGAATGACAGTTTAAAAAAAAAATTACAGCTCTATGGAAAAACAGCCTGGAAAAAATTTAACATTAAATTCAGACTATTGCTGCCCATGGCTTAGATAGTACTTTTGGTCACAGACTGGGAGTTCTCTTAAAAGCAACCAACCAGACTCTCAGACATGATTAATTCACTTCAGTGTGTCCTAAGAGCATTTCCGAGAAACAATGCCATGGAAAACTTAAAAAAAGGAGGAACTGTCCCTCAAAAAAGGACTGTGATTAAAGAGTTTGGCAAATGGTTTGAGAATCATTGTGCATGCAAGCATTATTAGAAGCAGTAATATTAAAGACTGAGGAGGAACTTAACAAATATCCTTGTTTATTTTTTTCCCCATAGACCAATTCCTCCTAGCTCCCCTGGTATCTGTATGCTCATATCCCATAGAAACACTGTCCTGAAAGGTGCACACACAGGGCAATGCTGGACTAATGGGATGACTTTTACTACTGCAGTTTTCACTTTTTTCCTATTATTTTCCTAATTACATTCATAGATGGAATTTACAAAAATTTACTTCCAAAGAGCTACATTATAGTTGTTTACAAGAATGATTGTAAACTACCCTATATTGTTATAAAACTTTTAATCAGTTTCTAACTTTTTAAGATTTCTAAACTATCTCTAATTTAAAAGTTTTCATAATAAATTGAACATGGTGGTGCATACCTATAATCCCAGCACTCAGGGGTGGGTGGAGTCCAAGGTACAAGTTCATCTCAGCTACATACCAAGTCTTAAGCTAGCCTGGGTTCATACAGGAGCCTGGTCAAAATAAGTAAATGAATTCCAAATACAGATTTAACTTTTTAAAAATGTGTGTGTGTGTGTGTTTTCAATAATTAAGAAGAGACCATGAATGAGAGGAAGAGTGTGTAAGGGAACATGGAAGGAATTGAAATGGGGAGTGGGTGGGGTAGAAATGATGGAAATATAGTACTCATGTATAAGATTTTTTAAAAAAAAATGAAATAAATGTAAAAATAAATAAATAAAACATTTTAGACTTGGGGGAGCTTTAAAAACAACAACAACAACAATGCTCTAGAAAGAAATCTCACCACTGGGCATTCCCATAATAAAGCATCCTCAATTTTTTCTGATTTGGAACATTTTGGCATTTCATAAAGTTTTCTTGGCTCTGATGCAACACTGGGAAAAATAGAAAATAAGTATTATTATTAGTTTTACATGGAGGCAGTCTTTGCTCAGATTTGAGGTATTTCTTTCACATGCCTGTAGCCCCAAATTACAACTTGCTATTTTGTTTTCTTTAACCTTTCTCTTTGGTATTTTTCTGATCAAATTCCTTAATATACAAACCCAGGAAAAAGTGTAAAAAAAAAGAAGATTAAAATAGTTAATAATAGGGTCTGGAGAAGGGCTCAGTGGTTAAGATCATTTGCTGCTCTTCCAGCGGACTCATTTGGTTCCCAGCACCCACATCAGGCAGCTTACAACTGTAATTCCAACTCCAGGGGATCTGATGCATCTGGTTTCTGCAGTTACATTCTCTCTCTCTCACACACACACACACACACACACACACACACACACACACGTAAACACATAACTAAAATTATATAGTTTATACTACAATAAAACCACTGAAAACAAACACACATTTCGGTTCATTTTCTATATGTTCCTTATGTAAATGGAGCTACCTGGACATTGTTTTACAAAAACAGCATTATACTGAATTCTTCTATCCTTAAACATTTACTGTAAATGTCTGCTGGATCTACTGAGTTCATTCTATTGCTCTGATACTCAAAAATTATAATGTATAGACTAAAAAGTTCCCATTATGTTTTGGCTAGTTTCATGTCAACTTCACAAAAGCTAGAGTCATCAGAGATGAGGGACCTCAATTAAGAAAATGTGTGGGCTGGAGAGATGGGTTGGTGGTTAAGAACATCAGCTGCTCTTCCAGAGGGCCTGAGTTCAATATCCAGCAACCACATGGTGGCTGACAACCATCTATAAAGTCTGGTGCCCTCTTCTGGCATGCAGAGCACTCATATATAAAATATAAATAATTTTTAAAGATAGAAAGAAAAATGTCTGTAAGATTAGATCAGGCTGTAGGTAAGCCTATATTGCATTTTTAAAATCAGTGACTGATGAGGGAGGACCCAGCCCATTGTTGGTGGTGCTCATCCTGGGCTGGTGATCCTTGGTTCTATGAGAAAGCAGGCTGAGCAAGCCAGTGGGAGCAAGCCAGTAAGCTGCACCCCTCTACATAAGCTCCAGCCTCCATGCTCCTGTCCTATTTGAGTTCCCATCCTGACTGTCTTTAGGAATGAACAGTAATGTGGAAGCATAAGCCAAATAAACCCTTTTCCCCCCAAGTTTCTTCTCTTTTTTGTTGTTGTTTTTCAAGACAGGGTTTCTCTGTATAGCTTGGAGCCTTTCCTGGAACTCTCTCTATAGACAAGGCTGATCTCAAACTCAGAGATCCACAAGCCTCTGTCTTCCAAGTGCTGGGAATAAAGGTGTGTGCCAAGTTTCTTTAATTATGTGGTTTTCATCACAGCAAGTAATAACCCTAAGACACACTAGTTTGAATAAATATTTGTGGGTACAAAAGGAAACGCTCACTGTATATTTTATTCTTTTCAGAAACAGTAAATATGTGTCTAGTTCCACTATCATTGAACATTGTATCTTCCAGCAACTTCAAGGCTAGACTGTGGTATTATCTAGGGGACAGGCGCTCTCCCCAGAACTCTATCTACCCCCTCCCTACCAAGAAAGTGAACACTGTAGCCTTGGTGCTTACTTTGAAACAGTATTCCTACCATGCCCAGGCTGTTCTCAAGCAATCTTCCTTGCCTCAGCTTCCCTGGGCTGGGGCTACAACCTGCCACACCCCCAGCTAGTCTCTACTTCTCTGAGAACTACTGAGATGTGGCCATAGATGTTTGCTTTCAACTACTGTGAAGAGAAACAATTTTTTTAGGATAGCATTTTATTCGCTTCTGACATTCCCTCCATAACTCTAAGGTTTAAATAAAACACAATGTCACAGGAGCAAAAGCAATCTCATGTGATTCCATCTTCAACAGCATGGTGAAGAACACCTGTCTGTTATCACTAGGACACTAATTAATAGCATCTATTTTGACTGCACTTTTAAAAATCAAAACAACTGTCTCCGGCTTGGAAAAGTGATGAGCTGGGTTTTAAATGGTACCTAAGTGTCACTGTTAACATTGCAAGGTATGATGAACATCCTGACCATACAAGAAATTGTCCGGATTTCCAATGCCAGAATCAGAGCCTTAAAACAGACACTGTTTTCAGAAAAACTGATGAAAATGAAGCACTTAAGCCTTTGGTTATTCTTATAAAAGCACATAGAGAAGTGTTTACTCAAGAAAACCCCCTGAATTCAGTAAGAATAGTGGGAGCCCACAGTGTCTACAGACACATTTCCTTCCTTCCTTCCTTCCTTCCTTCCTTCCTTCCTTCCTTCCTTCAGCTAAGGAAGATGGTATCACAGCTCTAAAGTGCTATGGCCAAAGCTTCTAGGATCCTTCATGCTGCTTTGACTGTGACATTATTTTCATCCAGCCCCAGTCATGTGTTGTTGAGGCTGAGTCCTATATTGGTGCAGTTGAAAGGTAGGACTCCTTTCAGCCCTGGCCCCATGGAAGCTCTACAGGGTAGAATAATAGGACCTTAACATCACTTCTCTTTCATTGTAAGGCCCAGACTGGCCTTAACTTCCTTCCCTAAGATGAGTATTCCAGCCAGCCCACCTGCTCAGCCTCTACTATTAAGGGAGTCATGCCATCACCTCCAGTGACCAGCTCCATAGAGTTGGCTTGAAGACTGCCTGGGCAGAGAAGCAGTTCCAAAACAGATAGCCCACAGTTCTTTCCAATAAAACTGACTTTATCTGCAACAGATGTGGAGGAGTTCAAGCATATGTACACTCTATAAATCATTAGAAGCCATGTCCAAGGGTGAATAGGGGGGTCATGGGTAGATTCACTAGCACTAAAGGCTAAATTGTAGGTTGGCTGATTCACCAAAGAACCAAAAAGGGTAACTATTAAGCAGTGATCCTAAACCTGTGGCTTACGACGACCCCTTTAGGGTCACATATGAGATATCCAGCATAACAGATATTTACATTACGAATCCTAACAGTAGCAAAATTACAGTTATGAAGTAACAACAGAATAACTTTATGGTTAGGGTTACCACAACATGAGGACTGTATTAAAGGGTCTCAACATTAGGAAGGTTGAGAACCACTGCACTAGGGTCAAGTCAAACCTCAAAACTCACTAGTCTGACTTCTAGTTTTTATCTAATCCAACAAGAACCTAGATGTTATCATCTCAGTTGAAAAAATGCTTGCCAGGAAAGCAAGAGGACCTGAGTTTAGATCCCCACCTCTCATAGTTTCTGCCTCTTGTAATCTCAGAGTTGAGGAGGTGGAGACAGCTAAATTCATAGAGCTTGCTGGCCAGACCATCTCCTGGAAACCTAGCTTCCTGGTCAAGTGAAATAAGACCCTGTCTCAACAAGGTGGGTGGCCCCTGAGGAATGGCACTGGAGATTGATCTATTTCCTCAGCACACACAGAAAGGAAATATCCATAATTTTTAGAGATGCAAAGTGAAGGATGTGTGTTTAGAATATGCTTTAAAATATTTACCATCAAGATAAAGGGTGGGGCAGTGGTGACGAACCCCTTTAATCCCACCACTTCGGAGATAGAGGCAGAGGGATCTCTGAGATCGAGGCCAGCCTTTTCTACTGGTCAGTTCCAGAACAGCAAGGGCTACACAGAGAAACCCTGCTTCAAAAGTTTAAGAAAGAGAGAAAGAAAGAAAGAAAGAAAAAGAAAGAAAGAAAGAAAGAAAGAAAGAAAGAAAGAAAGAAAAAGAAAGAGGCTAAAGGAAAGAGGCAAATCAATGTTTAATCTAGGTAACTGGCATGGAAGCATCAATTTACTGTGGCTTTCCCTGCAGCCTGACCTTGAATGGTTGTAGATGAGGTTGTTAAATATTATGCAACTGTAAATACTATGCTTCTGTTTGAATATTTTCTCCTGGGGGGGGGGGGAGTGAAGTAAGCACTTCTAAAACAAAATACAAATGCCTGTCTCCCAAAGAGCATCTAATTATTTCATAACACGTTTTCTCGACTCTGATCTTTTAAATGTTATAAAACAGCAAATAGTGCTGAGCAACGTATTATTTTGCCTGTGCTATAATTTTGTGTGAAATAAGTATTTACAAAGATGAAACCTGCAACTTTAGTTTTAATGAGGTTTTAAAATCGCATGCATTTTCCACCTAGTTTTATTATGGGCTTCTTTCTCCATTTTCCTGTTTCACTAAGCACTAAAGAAGCCACGTGGTTCTATAAAAACTACGTTCAGGTGAATTACAGCAAAAAAATCACCACCAATAATTTACCTGCTTACACAGCACCGGTAATTGTCAAAATATATTCTTCCTCTCTCATAGGCTATAGGTGACTTGGAATGAGTTGTCCAAACATTCTTAAATTTAGTACTCTCCTGAAAGATACAAAGAATTTCAGTTTAGGAAAGAACTCAGCCCCCTTCTATGGAACCATTTTTAAGTGGGTCGTTTAAACCTGTTTTCAAGTACATTGTTTCTTTTATTCTTCCTCCCTCTGCCCACTCGTGTTGGTTTAACTGGATGCCCAACTTTTAAATCGATTGTCTGCAGAAAGGCAAAAGCTTTTAAAAACTAAAGCCATGAGGCGGACCTGTAAGCACCTATTTACTAATATCCTAGTTGCAGGAGACGGATGCCCCTCCCCACTTATGACCCTCAAGTGAAAGCCGAGCGCGTAAAAAACTGCACCCCGGGAGGATGGACCCCAGGCATGCCGAGTATGGCGGGCGTCACCTGGCACACCAGCGCCCGCAGGATGCCCAGGTTCGTCCTCTGCACCACGCCCGCGTCGCGTGCGAAGAAGCCTAGAGCCCGGCGACTCAGCCTGCGGCACACATTGGCCTTCGGGGTCGGGCCCATGGAGACTCGGGGTCCTCAGGGCCGTGGAGGGGCGCGCCCCTCACAGATGCCACCAGCTAGCCTCAAGGGAAGGCTGACGCGGGAGCCCCGCACTGGGCACTCGGGGACAGAGAGCAAGAGTTAGCACCACTCGGGTTCGGTGCAAAGGAAGAGAACCAACGACGCCCGCACAGCCTTTCCTGCAGCTCGGGGACTCTTGGGATTAAGGCTGCCCCTCGGGGCCCGCCGTAGCCACGCCCTCTCCCGGAAATGTAGTTCCCACGGCCTTTCCCGTTTCTTTTTTCCAAAACTACAATTCCCGTCGGGCAGAGCGAGGGTTGATTTAGCCCCGCCCCTTCCCGCCCACAGCCCTCCTCTCCCGGCCCTGATAGGTTGCGCCGTAGGGCTGCGCGGTGGGTCGGGTCGCCTTCCGGGCTGCACGAGGTTAGCGGGGAGACCCTTGGGGGCGCTGTGCAGCCGCCTGCTGGTGGCGCCTCATCTCTGGGTCCTGCACCCAAGGAGCAATTCCTTTCCGCCCTGGTGGTGGGAAACCTATCAGTCCTACTGTGGCCCTGCGAGGCTCTGGCCACTGTCCGGAGGGGCGTTGTGTCTGTCCAGTGAGACCCTCCAAAGGTATGCCCTGTGGCTTTCCCTCAGCCGCACATGGGACGTTGTGGATGAGGTTGACTTAAACATTTGGTTGTATAAACACTTAAGCTTTTGTGTTGTAATTAGTGGTGAAACATGCTGGTTTTCCCACCAAAGTAGTATTAAATTTATCTTTCCCAGAGGTTCTCCTTAGTGTGGCCAGCGGGGACACTGGCTGGTTTTATGGTACTTGCTGTGTTTTCCTCTTCCTTGCTTGCATTTTCCCCCCATATAGGGAATAAAATAGGAAATGCTTGCATTCTTATTGAACTGCCTAAGATAATCCAGGTTGACTTCCCTAAGTAAAAAATAACATTCCCTGTTAACTAGCTCTGCCTGCATGTTCAAAATTCCCAGCACACCAAAATTTCCGTAACTGTATACCAGATGCCACCGTTACCTTGTTAGTGTGGTGTCTACATCTGCCACATATGCTTGGAATGTCACTCCTTTGGTGTTCAAAGAAAAAGCCAGTAATCATACCAGCTTTCTGATCTACAGCTTAGAATTACAATACCGGATGAGTGTGCTGGGTTGTAATTTAAGCGCTTAAGGTTTTTTGTTTTGGACGGGGAAGGAAGGAAGGAAGGAAGGAAGGAAGGAAGGAAGGAAGGAAGGAAGGAAGGAAGGAAGGAAGGAAGGAAGGAAGGAAGGAGAAGGAATGCATTTTCTTCAGGGTCTGGCTTTTTTTGCTGATATTTCATGACTTGCTTATAGCATAGGGTGGAGTTCTTTGTATATTTTTAGAAAGCTCTACAATAGTTAATTTGGTCATTCATGAATGCAGCTGTCACTGAGAAAACTGGAACCCAGAAAAAATATATCTGGATTTTCTTTGGCTGAAGTGAAATGCAAATCATTGCTGAATTGCACTCATCATCTCTCTTCTTCCTGTAGCTCTTGTCTTCTGTGTTCTCCCACCATGGCTGAGCTTTTATATCTGTGCTTATCTTTCACATAACTTTTTTTTCAGGAATTTTTTTTATTAATTTATGTTTTACACTCCAATCCTAGTTCCCCCTCCCTCCTCTCCTCCTTCTCCCCTCACTCTCTTCCACCACCTCGGAGAGGGTAAGGCCTCCCCTAGGAAGTGTACTAAGTCTGGCCCATCATCTCTTTGAGGCAGGACCACGGCACCTCTCCACCCCCACACCCCTGTGTCTAGGCTGGGCATGATCTCTCTCCATATAGAATGGGCTCCACTAAGTCAGGTTGTACATTAAAGTTAGATCTTTGACCCACTGTCAATGGCCACATATATTGTTCCAGTCACACCATTGTCACCTATATTAAGGGGGGTCTAGTTCGGTCTCATGCAGGTTCCCCATTTGTCAGACCTGAGTCAGTGATCTCTCCCTAGCTCTGTTTCTGTGGGTTTCCCCATCATGGTCTTGACTCCTTTGTTCATATTTTTGCTCCTCCCTCACTTCGATTGTACTCCAGGAGTAGTTAGTTAGTTGTGGATTTCTGCATCTGCATCCATCTGTTTCTGGAAGAGGGTTCTAGCATCTTTGGGATTGTGGATTGTAGGCTGGGAATCTTTTGCTTTATGTCTGGTATCCACTTATGAGTGTCTTTCTGGTTTTGGGTTACCTCACTTAGGATGTTTTTTCTAGTTCTGTCCATTTGCCTGCAAACTTTAAGTTGTCATCGTTTCTTACCACTGAGTAAATATACCACATTTTCTTTATCCATTCTTCAGTTGAGGGGCATCTAGGTTGTTTCCAAGATCTGGCTATTACAAACAATGTTGCTATGAACATAGTTGAGCAAATGTCCTTGAGGTGTGACTGTGCCTCCTTTGGGTATATGCCCAACAGTGATATTGCAGGATCTTGAGGTAGGTTGATCCCTAATTTTATGAGAAATTGCCATATTGATTTCCACAGCAGCTGGTCAAATTTGCACTCCCACTAGCAATGGAGGAGTGTTCCCCTTTCTCCACATCCTCTCTAGCGTAAGCTGTCATTGGGGTTTTTGATTTTATCTATTCTGATTGATGTAAGATGGAATCTCAGAGTGGATTTGATTTGCATTTCTCTGATGACTAAGGATGTTGAGCATTTCCTTAAGTGTCTCTTTGCCATTAGAGATTGTTTTGTTGAGAATTCTCTGTTTAGATCTGTACCCCATTTTTTAAATTGGATTATTTGGTAGTTCGATTTCTAGTTTCCTGAATTCTCTGTATATTTTGGAGGTCAGTCCTCTGTCAGTTGTGGGGTTGGTGAAGATCTTTTCCCATTCTGTAGGGAGCCATTTTGTCATGTTGACTGTGTTCTTAGCTTTACAGAAGCTTCTCAGTTTCAGGAGGTCCCATTTATTAATTGTTGCTCTCAGAGTCTGTGCTACTGGTGTTTTATTTAGGAAGTAGTCTCCTGTGCCTATTTGTTCAAATGTATTTCCCACTTTCTCTTCTATGAGGTTCAGTGGGGTTGGATTTATATTGAGGTCTTTGATCCATTTGGACTTGAGTTTTGTGCATGGGGATAGATATGGATCTATTTGCATTCTTCTATGTTATACCAGCACCATTTGTTTTCTTTTTTCCATTTTATATTTTTAGCTTCTTTGTCAAAAATTAGGTGTGTGGGTTGATATCAGGGTCTTCAATACGATTCCATTTGTTCACCTATGTGTTTTTATGTCAATACCAAGCTGTTTTCATTATTATAGCTCTATAGCAGAGCTTGAAGGCCCCCAGATGATCCTTTATTGTACAGGATTGTTTTAGCTATCCTGGATTTTTTGTTTTTCCATATGAAGTTGAGTATTCTTCTTTCAAGGTCTGTGAAGAATTGTGCTGGGATTTTGATGGGGATTGCATTGACTCTGTAGATTACTTTTGGTAGGATTGCCACTTTTATTGTGTTGATCCCACCTATTCAAGAGCATTGGAGATCTTTTCTTTTCTTTCTTTCTTTTTTTTTTTTTGCTATCTTCTTTAATTTCTTTCTTTAAAGACTTGAAGTTCTTGTCATACAGGTCTTTCACTTGTTTGGTTAGCATTACCCAAGTTATTTTATGTTATTTATAGCTATTGTAAATGATTATGTTTCTCTGATTTCCTTCTCAGCCCGTTTGTCATCTGTATATAGGAGGGCCACAGATTTTTTTTTGAGTTAATCCTGTGTCCTGATTTTTTTTTTTTTTTGAGTAAATCTTGTGTCATGCTATACTACTGAAGGTGTTTATCAGTTGTAGGAGTTGTCTGGTAGAATTTTTAGGTTCACTTGTGTACACTATCATATTGTCAGCAAACATAGAGAGTTTGACTTCTTTTCCAATTTGTATCCCTTTTATCTCCTTTTGTTGTCTTATTGCTATAGCTAGAACTTTGAGTATTATGTTGAATAGATATGGAGAGAGTGGATAACCTTGTCTTGTTCCTGATTTCAGTGGGATTATTTTGAATTTCTCTCCATTTAGTTTGATGTTGGCTGTTGGGTTACTGTATATTGTCTTTGTTATATTTAGGTATGTTCTTTGTATCTCTATTCTCTCCAAGATCTTTATCATGAAGGGATGTTGAATTTTGTCAAAGGCTTTTTCAGCATCTAGTGAGATGATCATGTGATTTTTTTTCTTTCAGTTTGTTTATATGGTGGATTTTTGTATTTTGAACTATTCCTGCATCTCTGGGATGAATCCTACTTGGTCATGGTGGATGATTTTTCTGATGTGTTCTTGAATTCAGTTTGCCAGTATTTTATTAAGTAGTTTTGCATCTGTGTTCATGAGGGAAATTGGTTGTGTCTTTGTGTGGTTTGGATATCAGGGTAACTGTAGCCTCATAAAAAGAGTTTGGCATTGTTTCTTCTGTTTCTATTTTGTGGAATAATTTGAGGAGTATTGGTATTAGATCTTCTTTGAACATCTGTTAGAATTCTGCATTGAATCCATCTGGGCCTGGGTGTTTTTTGGTTGGGAAACTATTGATAACTGTTTCTATTTCCTTAGGGGTTATGGGTGTATTTAAGTTGTTTATCTGTTCTTGATTTAATTTTGGTATATGGTACTTATCTAGAAAATTGTCCATCTCCTTAAAGTTTACCAATTTTGTGGAGTACAGGTTTTTGAAGGATGACCTGATGATTTTCTGAATTTCTTTAGTGTCAGTTGTCATGTCCCCCTTTTAGTTTCTAACTTTGTTAATTTGGATATTCTGTCTCTCTCTTTTGGTTAGTTTGGATAAAAGTCTATTTTGTTGAATTTTCAAAGAAACAACTTTTTGTCTCATTGATTCTTTGCATTATTTTCTTTGTTTCTACTTTATTGATTTCAGTCCTCAATTTGACTATTTCTTGCCATCTACTCCTTCTGGTGAGTTTGCTTTTTTGTTTGTTTGTTTGTTTTAGTGCTTTCAGTTGTTCTGTTAATTCACTAGTGTAGGATTTTTCCATTTTCTTTATGTAGGCACTTAGGGTTATGAACTTTCCCCTCAGCACTGTGTGTCCAATAAGTTTGGGTATGTTGTACGGTCATTTTCATTAAATTTTAGGAAGTCTTTCATTTATTTCTTTATTTCTTCCTCGACCCAGTGGTGGTTCAGTTGATCATTGTTCAGTTTCCATGTGTTTGTGGGCTTTCTGAAATTAATGTTGCTGTTGAATTGTAACTTTAAGCTGTGGTGATCTGATAGGGTACAGGGGTTTATTCCAATTTTTTTTTTTTTAATCTGTTGAGGTTTGCTTTGTTACTGAGTAAGTGGTCAATTTTTGAGATGGTTCCATGAGGTGCTAAAAAGAAAGTATATTCTTTTGTGTTTGGGTGGGATGTTCTGTTAAGTCCATTTGAGTCATAACATCTGTTAGTTCCCTTATTTCTCTGTTAAGCTTCTGTCTGGCAGATCTGTTCACTGGTGGGGTGTTGGAGTCTCCCACTATTAGTGTGTGGGATTTGATTTGTGATTTAAGCTTTAGTAATGTTTTTTTTACAAATGCAGTAGCTCTTGTGTTTGGGACATAGATGTTCAGAATTGAGATTTC